TAAAAAGGTTCGAACATTTGGTTAAAAAATCGAAATATATAAAAATATTTATAACAATGTCTGAAATGTTATAATTTAATACACCTAAGTACTTAATGAAGACTAATCGTAACAAAAAATCGCATGTGAAATAGTACAATAGAAGCCATTCTTCCTGTTAAGCCTTAATGCTCTCCCTCTCCCCCCGCTGGGGAATTTCGAAAAATCCCTTCTTAGTGTGCATTGCCATGGCGTACCCAACTAAAACGTTTAACATTTTTCGAATGGTGTGGGGCGTCATAACACCATTTATATTTATTATTTCAACAACCATAGTTATTATGTAATTTATAACAATCCAAATGTATAAAATTATTGCGTTAAACATACCCCTTATTACTGAGAATCTTCTAATTCAATTGAACGTTTTCAATCTGACCAATTTTCTAGAACATTTGCAATAATTCTATAATCAAACAAATATGCAGTAACAAATTCGAATTTAAAACGGTTCGAACATTTAATTAAAAAATCATAATACGTAAATATCGTACATTTGGAAATTAAGTTATTACCACCAGAAACAAAAAATCACATTTAAAATAGTACAGTAGAAGCCATTCTTCCAGTTAAGACTTAATCCTCCCCCTCTTTCCACTGCGGGGGAATTTCGAAAAATCCCTTCTTAGTGTGCATTACCATGTCATACCCTACTAAAACGCATGTAAAAACAAAAAATTGCATCTAAAATAGTACAGTAGAAGCCGTTCTTCCATTTAAGACTTAATCTCCCCCGCGGGAGAATTTCGAAAAATCCCTTCTTAGTGTGCGTTTTCATGATGTACCCTAACTGTGTACCAAATTTCACCACTTTAGGTTCAGCGGTTTGCTCTGGGTGATGATGAATCAGTGAGTGAATGAATGAGTCAGTCAGGACAAGCAATTTTATATATATATAGATTATAATCATGAATTAAACATATTTCTCTCTAATTAATATGTACAAATAATAAAAGATAAGTCACAGTTGTGCAACTTATCTTTTATTATTAGTATTTTACACCTATTGTTATTTACATTTTATTACTTTTACAGTTAATTTGCATATTTTAGGATATTTCTTCAGGTAACATTAAATCACTGAAAACATATCTGTGATATAAAATGTAAATTTTACTATACACTGTATCATTACATTGTTCTTAGAGAATCTGAAATGACGATGAGAAGTGTAAACTTGTTTAACAGAACCAAATTATCTTTTAGATGTTATTAATGATTAGATTTTGATCATTAGTATATATTACACCTAGTACCATTGATCTGACAGTAATATTGCAAGATTTATTAAAAATGTAAAACTGAAAAATGACAGTTTATATTCAATTCTTGTAAAACATTTGCAAAATTAACATATACAGAGTATTTGGTGCCCAAATCATGCACACACACACAAAAAAAAAAAACAGACTTTTAGATACTCAAGGGACAAAAACCCGAGTCAAAATAAAATACAAAATGGTGACACTCTACAAACAGGCGCTAGTGCAAGATTTACACATGCGTTGCTCATTGGAAAGTTTGAAATGCAAATGTTGCAAAATCAAATTTTGACAAACAAATTTTTGAAAAAACCCATTTACCTGTCCCATGTTATCCCCGACATATCTCTGGTTGTGACCTGCTGACCCGAAATATCTCATTTCAGTATTGGAACGTTTTTGAAACTAGATGGCCCTAGTTTATATTAAAACTAACTTCCGAAATACAATTTTCTTTTCGTTTTTACATTTATTAATATATTTATTTTGTTTGTGCAAAATAAAAGAATAATTTTGGACGATACAATACACACGATTATTTTTTTCAAAAACAGGGAAATTTTTGTTAGGAATTGACAAAAATTCAACCCAGGGCAACATGCAATGGAGAAAAATTTCAACATTTGATAGGCTAATTTCATCGAAAATGCCACATGGCCGGTGATGTTTGAACGAGCGTGCTCAAAACCAATGATATTAAAGTAGATTGGAGAATGAGAATGAGACCTGTCTTGAGTGTCAAAGTGATCCCATTTAGTAGTGTGTCTCCGAGACCAAAATGGCCTTGCCGTTTTACTTTTTTCATATATATAATANAATGCAAGTAGCATTCAACATTCAGGTTTTAATATAAAATAAATTAAAATTTTTGAACAATTGCATATTTAAAAATTATAAAAATGATTGCAGTTACTTTTTCACAAGTTAAGTAATTATTTATCTATGCATTTACATGCTAAAAGTGAAACATAGAAAATCATCATCATTTCTGTGTCCAAATTCATGAATCTAAACCATCTCCCTCTTTTCATTTATTCAGAACAGGATCTTGTGATGTCACATAATTAATAATTTTTAATAACCCTTAACAAGGTCATTCTAATGTGTAAATATATCAATCTCTCTAGATAAGGCTACTTGAGAAAGATATACTGTATCCTTGTGTGAGAGCCCAAACTTTGCAATAAATTTTTGAATAAAATTGTTTGTTGACTGTGCTAAAATTTGTTAAAATTTTTTCTGCATTTGTTAAATGTTAAAGGATATGATTGTATCTTTCACCTTGGAGTCATTTCCTTTCCAAGATGACACATCGAATGTGTCACCAGAAACTTACAACTGCAATTCATCTATTGGTCACAACCTATAACATTTCCAAAAAAGGGCATGGAAAATACCCCCTAATAAAAAGGAGGGATTAATGGTGATCAGAGTTCGTCCATCATCGAGAATTTGCTGTCTCTAAAGTTTGTCACTCATCTTGGATACATTACCCATCCAGCTGATCACCAAGCTATCCTACAAGTCCTATTAAGCTATCATCAAGTGATCCACATTGAATCGACTTGTTGAACAATCCTGATATCAAATGATGTCCAATCCGAAATCCTCCTAATCACTAATTCGCACGATCCTCCAACTCACCAACAACTAAGAACTGACTTTCTTGATTTTTGCAAGGTTATCTGCCCACAAACAAATGTGAACTCTCTCTCTCTCTCTCTCATAATTATGTGACAATGCCAAAGGACACCCCCTATGCTTCGGCACCACAGAACCAAAGGGTCGACATCGCACTGGCAAAGATCATGATGACAAATTTCTGTCAGGACTGACACCACTGTGTCTTTATGGATAGACACAGAAACCGTTAGTTTCTTGCGTGTGAACAGTCACGTACATAGGTTAGGTTCGGATTGGAGACAGAAGGAGAACTCTGGAAGGAATGCACTCTACAAGGTTAATCCATTTAACAAATATCTGTTTAATTATAAAGCTATTTACAAGGTTATTTAGCTTAGGATTTATAAAGAGGGAGGAGGTTTAAGCTTAACAACTCAAGAAAGAGAGTTACATGAGGTTTGCGTGGTGATAAACACCTGGACTCTGATTAGATCCTTGTTGAAGAATTCCCGTGGAGGTCAAGTTAAGGTGTTAATCCAGGTTGGTTTTAATTCAGATGCTAATCCAGATTTGGGTTAAGGATTTAGGATGGAGGGATGCACACATACACATAAGAAGGTTCTCAGCCGATGATGAGAAAAGCCTTGAATGTCATCGTCCCCTCCTCTTTATATGGGGTCTCTCCTGGGTTTTTCCCATTACTTCACTTGGAGTTTCATATTTAGGCTTCAATCAACGAGTTTCACCCATTAAGTCAAAGTGACGTATTTGATGTGTCACTCCCAACAAGGAACTAATTCCGTGGGAAACAGTTTAATTACCAATTTAATCATTAATGTTTTTGAAAAATTATCTGGATTTGAACAACAAAATTTTAAAATAATCCCTTTCCAAAACCCTTCTTTAATAATAAGGTTTCTTCTAATTTCGGCTCTCACAATTATAATAGCTAATTTTCATAATAGCTTAAAATCCTTATAAATAGATGTAAAATGATATGTAAATAAACGGGTATTTGTTAATGTTAATCTTGTGGGTCAGTGCATGTCTTTCACATGCTGTCTCTCGGGCCTTCTCTCTCCTGAATCCGACCACCTACACATATGACCGCTTGTGTGTGAACTTAATAGTTAATGGCCATCACGATTTTGATGTCTGTTAAGACACAGTGGTGTCAGTTCTGACATGGCACCAACTTTGCAATCACACTTGCCTTCAAGTATATTGTTTTTGTATTCTTGTTAAGTTAATATGTAAACAAATTAGTTTTTATGTTATAGTATTTTCTGTGCTGTTCATTAATATCAATCTTTTTTGACACAAGTAAAGAAATGTTCTGTTTATATGAAAAAGACATTTTTTTTTTTAGTATATAAAAAAAATTCAAATTTGAAAAACTCTTATTAAAACTTAAAATTCAATTTAACAGTTTCAACCAGAATGAAAAATAATTATGCAATATTCGACGATACTCTGTTTCTATCTTGAATACCCTCATTTTTAAAAATAATTTTCTCCCATTTGCATCATTACATTCCTATGGGTGGTCTTTCTCACATAGAGAATTTCCCATTGTGAATCTCATTAAATTAAATCCATGAGACATCAAAAGAGATGCTAATAATGCTCATGGAATAAAAAAAAATGTTATAGAATTAATAAATAAATAAAATAAACATTTCATTAATGGAAAGTTAGAAAAACTATAAATGAGATAAATAATCAGAGTATGTTTTGAAAACTAATGTGCTTTTATATTTAGAAAAATTTCTAATAATATATAACTTTTTAAACAGATTTATTCTTGTGTATTGTATGCCAAATGAGAACATTCAATAGTAAGAACTAACTAAAACTAAATTACAAAGAATTAATTACTGTATATTAGTTTCATTTAAGAAGATGCAATTGAAAGAGTGAAAAAGAGTTTTATTAATAAAATATAAGACTTTTTTTAGGGAGTTACCAGAAATCGTCTATTATTGTATATTAAAAATATTACAATAATGAAATAAGGTGTGATAATTGCGACATTTTCAGACATTTAAATGACCATCTTCAGACCAAAAGATCTTTTCAAATAGCAGTTAAAAAATTCAGAAATCAGAATTAGAACATACATTCTGCATATCAGAAAATTTGACTTACAATAGAATGTTCCAAATATTGATAAGAACACAACTTTTAAAATTGTTGGACCTGAAGATGGATAATAATTATCCACAAAAAACCTTTATATATGTGTTGTGTCCATTACAATATCCACTAACGTTTTCAACCTCCACCAAGGTCTTCTTCAGGTGCTGACTTTCAAGGTTTTTTGTGGATAGTTATTACTCAACAGTGTTACAGTTAGAAGTCGTATTCTGAAGATGGATGTTTAAACTGCTGAAATCATTTGAAATAATAAAATAAATGCTGGAGAAATAAGATATAATAGTGGTAACATTTTAAAAATCATCCAGTTGGTTTTCAAGTTAAGATATTAAAAACTTTAAAGTAGAAGTAATAGATTTCAACAATGTTTGGATTTGAAAACCTTTCTAAAAGTAACAAATTCTCCTATGTTTTCAATAGTCACACATCATAGGCAAACTGTATACAATGCAATAGGTTTTTCATTTCAGAAAGTGAGTGAGGACAATTCAGTTTTGCAAGTAGGTTCCAGTATAAGTGCAGTTTGTCAGAAACATCTTTTCTCTCCAAGAAATAGAAGATCACTTTGCTTATTCATTGAAAGGCTAGAATGAGAGACACATCAAGCTGTGGCTTATGATATCTTGCAAAGTGTACAGAACAATTGGATTTCCCATCCAAATCTCTGAATACAACAACATGTCAATCATATCAAATGTATCATCCGAACAATCATTTTGCTTACATACAATGTTTGACTTATCAGATATACCTGAATAATATTAGTAAGAATGACTTTAGTAAATTAATAAAAATTAAATACCTGTATACTTTGCATAAGAAACCGAGTGACTCTCGACAATTCTTTTTCAATCATTCGTTGCTGTTTATATAATCTTCCTATGTCTACAGCATTATTCCTGAATTCTGAAACTTTCTTCTTAATTCCATCTAATGTGATTTCTAAAATACCCTAGATATAAAAAAAATTCAAATTCTGTTCTCATATTTGTACTTATAACAATTAAAATTTACATACATGTTTCTGCTAAACTACTTGATTCATTTTTCATAAACATTTAAATATTTTAACTTTAAAGTTAAGACTACAAAAATATACATTTTCGAGTCTGATGATTTACTCTTGTTTTTAATGTAAAAGCATCAGATCCTCAAATAAAAGGCTGATGTTTGATATTGTTTTTAACTTTGTGAATTTTTACCTACTGTATTATTATTTGTTTTTTAATGTAGTTTTTTCTTCAATCCAATGTAACTGTTACTTCTGTGGTTGAGTTAAAGGATAAATGGACAAACTTGAAAATGTATATATTTGTAAACAGTCTTAACTTCAAAGTTAAATTAGAAGATAGCCTGAGTCATCATGAAAACTGTATTTAAATATTTTACTTTTATAGTGAATTTTATTAAAAAACAGACTTATAAATCAAAGCATTTAACAAGTTGGTTAAATTGAATAAATGATTTAAATAATTTCTCCTTTATAAACATAAATATTTATTTAATATAGCCATTAATATAAAACTATTCAATAGGACCTAATGGAAACAGTTTTTACTTCTAACAAACAATGTCTTACTAATTTTAAATACTGAATACATTGTTCTTTTTGCAATGTTGGTTGAATAAACAGTCTTTTATTAAAACAAATAAATAATTCATTCACTATTCTGAAAGGATATTGTTGACTAAATTATATATCATATTTTATGCACTTACAATTAGCATCTGGATAATTGTATGTGCATAAAATATGTGCATTGTGTGATATTTATAATTGATTTTTCACATATTGTTTGAAATCAAAAATAATTTGTTTTTATTCCAAACAAATACGAATAGTTTCAGCTGTCATAAGTAAAATAGTTGTTTATCAGAAACTGCCTGTACTAAATCAATTACTAGAATATAGGACATCTTAAATTCAATGAATATTAAAGTTTCATAATGCTGAAATAGTTTAAGCATTGGAGTGCTTAAAGTTTTGTTCAATTCCTGATGCTTTTTAAATTTCAAGTAAAAATATTTATTATTATAAATTTATATATTAATAATGCAATTTTTATATATCCAGATGCTAATTTATATTTGATCTAACAAGAATATTCACTAGACATATATATTACTAAGTTACATATATTATAATAATAATAATTTATTATAATATATTATTATTATAATAATAATAAAAATATAAGTTACATATTATAAGTTACTAAATTACATATATATTACTAAGTTTAAAATATTTTTAATAAAATAGGAAGAGTTTTAAACTTTCTAAATATTACTTTTTAAATAATTTAATATGCATATAATATAGTCTTTAAATATCAATACATAACTATTTGAACTTACTCGATCTTGCTGTAATGAAGTAAATGTATTGAATTCATCTTGTAACATTCTATCTGAGTGACAAAGTTGCTGCAACCTTTCCTAAAAACATGATTTTAAATTTCAGATAAAATCAATAATTTGAATACAATACATATATTGCATTTCAGAAACCATTTTTAGTTAATTAATATTTATATATTTATTATAAAAACAATATTTTAAGTTATATGCATATTATTAACATACTTAACATGTATTAATGTTCAAATTTATTAACTTAATACAAACTTCATATTCCAAAACTTCTTTTTACATCCCAATTATGCAAATACAATAATATATATACTATACACAGTACTATAATATACACTATAGAATTTACTTACTGAAATCATTTTAAGACTTGCCTATATTGATAATAATAGTTGAATGATAAACTTAAGTAAGATTAAGGAATAAGTAAATAACACTACAATTTGTGGAAATTCTGATTTCATTGATTCTGACATTAAAAGGACATGTTAAAATAATTAAAAAGTGTATAACTTGGAGATTTATTAATTAATTGTAATTCATCCAGTGTTGTTTGCAGCTGCTGTTTGCTGTACATTCTTCAATAATAGCTAGCATATAATTAAAATAAGAAATTCCAACTTCTGTACTGCAAACAAATAACCATTAAAATAATCAATGCTTAATAAAAAATATCAAGATTTCCACACACGAAAACCAATGACATGAAAAGACAATCTAAACTGACAATTTACCTAATACGTGTATAAAGATCACTTAATCAGAATTCAGTTTTAGTTAAGTTTTTATAGTGTACTAGCTGTTTCCCCCGACTTCGCCCGCGGAGGTTTTGCAAGCAAACCCCATTTATATTCAGTATTTCAACAACCATAATAATTGTTATATAACACCTACCGCCGAGAATGATGAGAATTGCCGAGAATCAAACAAACAATTTTCAATTTGATCAATTTTCTGGAACGTTTACAATCGTTCTATAATCGAACCGATACGCAATAACAAATTCGAATCTAAAAAGGTTCGCCATTTGGTTAAAAAATCAAAATATATAAAAATATTTATAACAATGTCTGAAATGTTATAATTTAATACACCTAAGTACTTAATGAAGACTAATCGTAACAAAAAATCACATGCGAAATAGTACAGTAGAAGCCATTCTTCCTGTTAAGCCTTAATGCTCTCTCTCTCCCCCCACTTGGGAATTTCGAAAAATCCCTTCTTAGTGTGCATTGCCATGGCGTACCCAACTAAAACGTTTAACATTTTTCGAATGGTGTGGGGCGTCATAACACCATTTATATTTATTATTTCAACAACCATATTTATTATGTAATTTATAACAATCCAAATGTATAAAATTATTGCGTTAAACATACCCCTTATTACTGAGAATCTTCTAATTCAATCGAACGTTTTCAATCTGACCAATTTTCTAGAACATTTGCAATAATTCTATAATCAAACAAATATGCAGTAACAAATTCGAATTTAAAACGGTTCGAACATTTAATTAAAAAATCATAATACGTAAATATCGTACATTTGGAAATTAAGTTATTACCACCAGAAACAAAAAATCACATTTAAAATAGTACAGTAGAAGCCATTCTTCCAGTTAAGACTTAATCCTCCCCCTCTTTCCACTGCGGGGGAATTTCGAAAAATCCCTTCTTAGTGTGCATTACCATGTCATACCCTACTAAAACGCATGTAAAAACAAAAAATTGCATCTAAAATAGTACAGTAGAAGCCGTTCTTCCATTTAAGACTTAATCTCCCCCGCGGGAGAATTTCGAAAAATCCCTTCTTAGTGTGCGTTTTCATGATGTACCCTAACTGTGTACCAAATTTCACCACTTTAGGTTCAGCGGTTTGCTCTGGGTGATGATGAATCAGTGAGTGAATGAATGAGTCAGTCAGGACAAGCAATTTTATATATATATAGATTATAATCATGAATTAAACATATTTCTCTCTAATTAATATGTACAAATAATAAAAGATAAGTCACAGTTGTGCAACTTATCTTTTATTATTAGTATTTTACACCTATTGTTATTTACATTTTATTACTTTTACAGTTAATTTGCATATTTTAGGATATTTCTTCAGGTAACATTAAATCACTGAAAACATATCTGTGATATAAAATGTAAATTTTACTATACACTGTATCATTACATTGTTCTTAGAGAATCTGAAATGACGATGAGAAGTGTAAACTTGTTTAACAGAACCAAATTATCTTTTAGATGTTATTAATGATTAGATTTTGATCATTAGTATATATTACACCTAGTACCATTGATCTGACAGTAATATTGCAAGATTTATTAAAAATGTAAAACTGAAAAATGACAGTTTATATTCAATTCTTGTAAAACATTTGCAAAATTAACATATACAGAGTATTTGGTGCCCAAATCATGCACACACACACAAAAAAAAAAACCAGACTTTTAGATACTCAAGGGACAAAAACCCGAGTCAAAATAAAATACAAAATGGTGACACTCTACAAACAGGCGCTAGTGCAAGATTTACACATGCGTTGCTCATTGGAAAGTTTGAAATGCAAATGTTGCAAAATCAAATTTTGACAAACAAATTTTTGAAAAAACCCATTTACCTGTCCCATGTTATCCCCGACATATCTCTGGTTGTGACCTGCTGACCCGAAATATCTCATTTCAGTATTGGAACGTTTTTGAAACTAGATGGCCCTAGTTTATATTAAAACTAACTTCCGAAATACAATTTTCTTTTCGTTTTTACATTTATTAATATATTTATTTTGTTTGTGCAAAATAAAAGAATAATTTTGGACGATACAATACACACGATTATTTTTTTCAAAAACAGGGAAATTTTTGTTAGGAATTGACAAAAATTCAACCCAGGGCAACATGCAATGGAGAAAAATTTCAACATTTGATAGGCTAATTTCATCGAAAATGCCACATGGCCGGTGATGTTTGAACGAGCGTGCTCAAAACCAATGATATTAAAGTAGATTGGAGAATGAGAATGAGACCTGTCTTGAGTGTCAAAGTGATCCCATTTAGTAGTGTGTCTCCGAGACCAAAATGGCCTTGCCGTTTTACTTTTTTCATATATATAATATATAAAAATTTATTTTTCACATTTATGATTTATTTTATGTAAATATATTATAAAAGTATGGTTTAAAATGTAATTTCAATATAATATTTTACTTTATTGGTTATTCAAATAATAAGAATTTATGATTAATTAGAAATAATTTCAGTATTGTCTATATTAATATTATAAAGAGGTAATGTTTGTATGTATGTAAGTTTCTTTGCAGCAGGTAATCTCTGAAACTACTCATCCAATTTCAAAAATTCTTTCACCAATATTTAGAATGGAACCTCAGGGTTGACATAGGCTGTATATTATTCCGTTAAACATTCATATAAATTAAATGATATCATCTGTGGTTAAGGCTTTTTTGTCCAACAGATGGCGCTACGAGTATGACGCCCTAACTTTGCTTTTCTGTGAGGCATTATGCTTTTCTGTGAAAATGAACTAAAGTGGATCATCTTCTATCTATCTATATAAATAAAAATGTAATGTTTGTTTGTTCCTACCGATTCCTTTGAAATTTTGACACAACACTGCATTCGAATATGCATGTGTTTTTATATACTGTAATATACGTGTCGAAATTCCCCCCACTGAAGGAAGATGGTTAGGATTAAGGCTTACGGTAAAGAACTCTGCTTCTATTTATACTATTTTAGATGCGGATTTTTGCGTTTTTGATTGCGTTTTAGTAGGGTATGTCAACAGAATATACACTAAGAAGGGATTTTTCGATATTCCCCCACGGGGAGAGGGACAAAATTAAGGCTTACCGTGAAGAACTTGGCTTCTATTATATTATTTTAGATGTGGGTTTTTGCGTGTTTGATTGCGTTTTAATAGGGTACATCAAGAGAATGTACACTAAGAAGAAATTTTTCGAAAAATTCCCCCCCACGGGGGAAGTGTTATACATTTATAATAGATACATTTTGAGCCACAACAACGCGTGGCAGGGTCTGCTAGTGTATTATAAATCTACAGTACATTCTCACTAATCCAGACACTCAATGCTGAGCAATTTGATGCATCCCATCCAGAGTTGCTAGAGCGGACAATCTATTGCAAATTAGAAGACTGTGCAGTTTTGCATATTAGTAAACAGAATTTTTTACAGAAAGAATGTAAAAAATTTTTTGATTTAAAGTACTAAACAGAAGTTTTAGGAAAAATAATAATTATTTGATTATTCTTTTTGCAGTATTTTTGTAACTTATTTGTACTGTAATACTTTATGCACATATACGTACATCCTTTCTAATCCAGATAATTGCCTAGCAAGAGTATACCTTACAATATATTTGTAAAGTAATATATTATAACTAGAAATATCATTAAAAAAAGTATACCTCTAAACTGTCTTCACTAAGATTTATATTAGAAGATCCTTCCTTGCAATTAATTTGTCTAGAATGGAGTTGACGAGATAATGATAACAATTGCATGTATGACTTTGAGGAACCTGCATTAGTATTTTCCTCCTTTTAAAATAAAATTAATATGATTAAAATCTCAATTTTATAATATCACAAAGTTAAGAGAAAAAATTTTTCTTATAAAAAAATTATAATTAATTTTAAATTAAAAGATAATAATATTAACTTATATTTTATCTTTTAATCATTATCATCTTTGATCATTGTTAATTACATCCCCTCAATGTTAATGTAAGTGTCAGTCGTCAATCAATGTCTGAACTGTTGGCTATCAAAAAATTGTAGTGTAGTGTTAATGTAATGTAGTGTAATGTAATAATAAAAATATTACTTATTACATTAACATTAACACTACACTATGAAATGTAATAATAATAATGCCAACAGTTCAGACATTGATTGACATGAAAATGATTAGAATTGTACAAACCAATGAATATTATGAAAAATGACCTTGAGACACATCCGTTACAAAACCCGTTAAGATTATTCAAATATAATTTAATTTGTCTCATTGTGAAAATGGATGTGAACAACGTGCATTTTCGATACTTGTGTCTTTTTTCTTTTTTTTTTTATCGTAAAGGCAAAAATGCCATATAAACAGCAAAAGAATTATACTATATGATTGTATTATATGTAATATTTCACAAGAAAAGTTTAAATGTGAGTATAATTTTAATTGGAGAAAATATTTCTTTGTGAGATAATTTTAAATGTAAAAGTATTTAATATTGAAATGTATTTAACATATTAAAAATACACATATTAAAATATGATGTATTTTCAATTGTCATGCTATGGCATATCCCGGGAAGTAATGGTATGTTTCTAATTGTAATAAAATAGAATACTGTGTGATATAAGAAAGTTATATCTGTGTTTTTATTATGTAGCTGACAGAAGAGGGGCTTGAACCCGAAACAAGTCTCAGCAAATAAAAAATTCCCGAATAAAAGTTGATGACAGAATTGCCAAGTGTCTGTATAAGCACCTAGTAGTGATAACAAATTATTGAAATATATGATGTTTATGGTGGGAGTGCTTTAACAGAAGCAACTGTTCAAAAGTGATTTGCTAAATTTAAAGTGGGTAATTTCAGCCTTGAAGATGCTCTCCATTCAGGAAGACCACCCGTTATTAAAGAGATGTATTGATCTGGTCGATCAAAATATTATTGGATGAAAACCCTCATTACACAACTTGACAGATTGCAGACATAGTGAAATCACCAAACAGTATTATATTTCAACATCTAAAGAAGCTTGGATATGTGAATCATTGTGACATTTGGATACTTCACAAATTAACAGAAAAGTGAATGCATCTCCATTTGTGACTCTCTTAAAAATCGAAATGAAAACAACTGTTTTCTGAAGCATTTAGTGACAGGTGATGAAAGGTGGATCATTTATATCATCATCAGCTGAAAATGATCATGGAGTAAGAAAAGTGAACCACCATTAAAAACTCCAAAGGCTAGTCTTCATCCAAAGGTCATGCTCACCATCTGTTTGGATTGGAAAGGAATCCTGTATTATGACTGCTTCCATAAAATCAAACAATTGATTCTGATAAGTGTTATTCCCAATTGGTAAACTGAACATGGCAATTAAAGAAAAATGTCCAGAACTGGCCAATAGAAAAGGCATTGTGTTTCATCAAGATTTTATTTTTGTTTACACAGTATTACTAAATTTATTCTCATTTTTATATATTTTTCAATATGAATTATATACAGTCGATCACCTATAACACGGTAGATACGTTCCTGTTTTTATGAATCCAGCTTCAAGGAGTCCAGCCAATCACAGCCCGGCACGTATGCAGTTTACGGACTATGGCTGTTTGAAAGATTTTTTCCATAAAATTAATCGATTCTAGACTAATTTGACTCAACATTTCCAAAATACGTATAATTTTTTGGGAATAATCCATATAAACTATGCTATAAACAAAAAATTGTAAGATTACTTACTGAGTGTGAACCGTTTGACTACGCCATTGCTTAAGCTTGTTTTCGTCGTGGAGATTGTCATCAAATGGCACTTGCATGCTTCCTGATAAATTATTTTTTTTTTGCGAAAAATTCGCTGAACTTTAGAGACATCATTAATATAAATATAATTTTTATGGACATTAAATAATAAATGGTTTTTGGTAGGTCCTCTGCTCGTTTAAACTAAACGGTTTGTGCAATATCCACTATTGGTCTAGATTCGACCAATCCTGTAGCAACACAAGTCAGCGATGACGTTTTACCGAATTATAGGAGTTTTTTTTAGCATGTTTGTACAAATACTGTCGCAATTTTTTCGCTGTGATATAGGAATCCAAACTATAGGAACCCGTGCTATAGGGGGGTCGACTGTACTGGATGTGATAGATTATACCAATGGTTTTTAAATACAGTTGTGACTGAAACTGTAGAGGTAAAAAGAATGAACTTGAACATGCATGCTGTTTAACTCAAAGCCATTTAATAACAATTGAAATTAGTTTAAAATAATAAACATGCACTTTGTTTCAAGTGTATCCTCATCAGTTACATGACAATCTTTTTTTATACATTGTTAAAATTATTGCTTGGTGTAGTGTAACAACTTTTGGAATTGATTGGTCCATATTTCTTTGAAGAAGAAGATGGGACTGTGGCAGAAAACTCAGCTTGCTATATCAAAATGCTTCCTAACCTTCTGAAATTGGAGTTGTGCTAGTGTGATGTTGAATACTAGAAGACAGGATGGATAATAGCTTACACTGGGAACAATTCAAGAACTGTTGCAGAGTTGAAGTGGAACATCGAGGATGAAGTGACAACAATCACCTAAAATGCTGTAGAAAGTCATGCAAAGTTTTAGGGAACAATTACAAGAATGTGTAGACAACAATAAATGCCACCTCAGCCACAATATTCAAAAAGTGATTATTTAAGAATCCTATGTTAAATGGTTTGAGGTTAATGCAGGATAATAAATTAATTTAGCAAAATTATGCAATTTTTGTTTATGTTATGTAATTTATGTTAATCTGCTGCACCCTGTATACAAATAAGAAATTTTATTTTAACATTATTGCTTAATGATTTATTTTTAGTGGTATTATTGCATATCTATAATATTTATTTATATCATTGTTTTTATTGGTTTCATGTAAATTCACTTAATTTGATACAAAGACAAATATAATCTTATTAAATAATAATTCATTTAAATTTGATGTTTTTATAAAGAATTTTTCAAGTCACATTAACTACATCACTACAAATTACACACATCTTGCAATATACAATTTTTTCCCTCTCTTTCTGTCCTATGGGCATTTTTTATGAAGACCTTTTTATGAAGCCCATTATGGGCTTGGCCAGGCCCACAATGGGATGACCAGACACATCCAGGATGGACAATCCCCAAAAAATTCCTGGGGTCTTTTGACTCAACCAGATTCAAACCCATGTCCCGACTGGTAGGCTGCCACCTTAATATTGAAAAAATTCAATCTCCTTGGGCCATTAAATCAAGCCTCAAAAGTCATATAAGCTTCAAAAAGGAACTGGAGTTTGAAATATTTCACATTAAAAACAATTTATTACTCTGAATTCAAGAAAAAACTTTCAAAAGTCACATTAAAGATTGGTAAAAGAAGATTGTAAATATAAATCACTTAAACTTAAGGATCCTCTGAACCCCTTTTGATCTAACTTATCTATAGCACACAGTATAAAAAGGAGTCTAGAAGGATGCTGAACCAGAACTTGATATGTCTCTCATTGGCACTGTTAAGAGTAATAATATTCTCTAAAATTTTCTTAATTAGCAGCTTAATTAGGCAAACCCTGACCCTAACCCATCATATTGATGGGTTAGGTTCAGACCATTGCTATAAACAGCATATCACCTTAAAGCAAAATAAAGCCATTCTTTACCTGTCAGTTCATATAAATTAATACATTATCATTGACAAATAAAGCCAACTATTTATTAAGTGCACAAAAGTACTAGACCAAAAAAATTAATGCAAAAGCAAAATAAGGAGATCTTAGAAGTATGTTTTTTATTTATTAAGAGCAAGACAGGTGCTGAAAATAATAAATATGAATACAATTAAAACGTGTCATATTAGCTTTCCCTCTAAAACAAAATGTCTTAAAGCAAGGTATACCTGTAATGAATAAGAATCTTACCTTAAATGACACAATGTGTTTTGTGTTTAAAATATCATTAACACATTTTTATTTTTTAAACAGAAAAATTTAATATGGTTTGATATTATTCATATTAAAAAAATTCACAGACATAAAATAGTGCTGTCTAACGTATTTATATAAATAGCATTCTTTTTATAAAATTAAAAATTCTTACCAAATTAGTATGTGTCACGTAATTTCTTTCAGATCCATATAAACTTCCCAGCTTTACCATATTTTCTACTAGATTTACTAATGGCTGGCCCATCTCAAACTGTTTCTGAAATTCATGCATCTGGTGGCGTAGTTCTTCACATTTTTTAAAATGTTCCTCTCTGGAGGATTCACTAAAAATTTCCTTTTTTTTTACAAATTTTTCTTATAAAAAATTTCAATTTATAAATAAAATTAAAACATAAGTTATGAAATGCTTATTATTTATCTTACATTTCAACTAAATATTGTTCATTTTCAAGCTGGATTCGACATTGTTGCCTTGCTTTGGCAATTCTATGTTGATTTCTTCTCAACTGAATAAGTAGCAAGACCAATTCTTCATGCTGAAAAATGATTAAATAAGTTAATTCTATAAATAAAAATTTTATAAAAGCACAAAGTGCATTTATAGACTTAACTTATAGACTGTGTATTTATATATAATAAAATACAGCAATAATAGTTTTAATAACTAAATAAAAATAAAATGATTATTGAATTATTAGGGCTGGACTTAGACTAGTTATGGCCCTTCTCTTCCCTACATAATGATGCATATAAAAATGTGAGATCATATACTATAGACTAATAACACAAGGCCCTAAGATGCAGTTTGTTTCGCTTTTGTGAAAATCTGGCCCTGTACATTATAGTTTATCACATTATTAATCTAAATGCTTGCAAACCAAGATATAGCTGAAAGGTTTATGTTGATATAATAGTTAAAACAGTCATAATAATCTTCCATTAACATGCATTTTGTATAACAATATGTTTGAGTAAAGCAATTTTTATGCCAATAAATTAAGTTAAAGTGTAAGCAATTAAAATGAACAAAAATGAAATGTATTTGAGACCAATAAGGCTATATAAATTCTGGAAAAGAAATAATATGTGATAATAATGACTAGCAAGGACACACTCAAATTGGGTCAAATTTTTATTCTGTCAATAAAGTATCAATAAAGTATATATATTTATTTTTGATCAGAATACTTGCAACTAACAATCTATGTAACTATAGGAAGCACATCAATATTAACACATAATAAACTTTTTAATTTCAATATTGGAACTCTTCTTCCTGAACCTTCTGTTTTAATATTCTGAATCCTTCTTGTAAAATTTCAAATTCTAAATCATTTTAAATTGTAATATAATTCTAGAAACATTAGACACTAATACATTTTAAAATAATTTGTTTCATTTCTTTCTCATATTTAGAAATATAGCACATCTCAATAAATGACGCATATGGGACTGGAATGGTACCAGATTAAGAAGATTACCATATTATTAGAACGTAAATTCAATATTTTAATCATTCAGAAAGAAAATATGTGTATTTGCATGATATTAATACACTGTATTAAGTTGGACTACTGATCAAAATATCAAGTGCATTGCCATCTCTTTAATTAGTGTAGCCAAGTTGGTGGATTTCCACTAAACTAAGTGGGAAATTGAAGCTACTGTAGAAAATTTAATGGGAGGTTCAGTACTTTTGGTGGTAAATTTCAAGCGACTGATTTTAATATTTATATAGTAATGTGTTATAGGATATTTAACATTTTAAGCAGCATAACAATCTTTAATATCATGCTTAAGCTTGCATGTTCAAACTTAGTCTTGATATCATTCCACATTTACCAGGAAAGTGTCAAAATTTTGTGGAAACTAAAGTTTGAACTAGTGGTAGTATGAACCTTGTCTACAACTTACAACAGTGCCATTAATACCTGAACATTTACTGGTGTCAGATTATGGGATGTGTCAATAGTAAATGGCTGGATTAATCTTTTTAATTTTTAAATTTCCTTATAATTGCATCATTTTATCGTCAATGCACAAAAAAATAGCAAATAAATGATGGCAAAGGTTTTTGTCAACAAAAAATTATCTGTAAATACAAGTGCACGAAAGTATAAGTATACAGGTATACCTCCAGTTACGTCGTTTCGAGTTAAGTCATTCTCGATTATATGTCGTTTGTCAACAAAATACATGGAAAAATAAAAATCAAGTTTAAATCATTTTATTCAACTTTACATCTGTCTGCCACAAATATTTAAGTCGTAATATCACTAGAAAAGTGTTAAAAGTATATAAAATCATATTAAAATATGTACATTTACAGTAAATGTTAATATAATCATCATAAATCCTAGAAAACTAAATATAAAAACATCTGTGACTCTGTGTTGTCTTATTTAGCAGTCTTTAAGAGCTCCATATTGGCATTTTCCATGGTAGTTCCAATATCTACTGTTTGGCAGATATTGGTAAATTTAACATAAATTAGTTTATTTTCTACTATTGCAAAATAATTTTAATAACTGTATTTGTTATTTAACCTTACAAAATCATCTTATTTTATAATGTCTTAGATTCGCAAATAAAGAGTCCACGATGTACTACTGTAAACATTGCCAAATTGTAAACATGTACATTTATAAATATGTACGTACATGTATCCGTAAATTTAGATTACCTTTTTTCTGTACTATATTAAAAACTTAAATTTATTTGTTTGTAAGCTTAAAATAGATTCTTATTAACCATATATTATTAAAATTGCATTTATAAAAAAAAATACAGAACTGGGAATGGTTATTTGTGGTTTAGCCTAGTGACAAATAAATTCGACTTAAGTCACCTCTCCTGGAACCAATTACTGACATAAGGTAAGGTATACCTGTATATAATCAAAAAAATAGGCAGAGAAAAATGCACGAGGCTTCTCTGCATGGGCTTGTGCACTCATTAACAAGACAAAAAATGTTTTATATTAATTTTGAGATGCTCTATGATTTTGTAATTTATACTGTGATATTAACTTTTATAGGAACTGAGACAGGAATGTGATAATAATGACTAGCAAAGACACTGTCGACTGTATCAATGAAGTATATATATTTACTTTTGAGACAGGATTGGCCCCTTGAAAAGCTGGGATTGGGGTAGTTGGCAACTATACCATCAAATAGATCACTACCAATTACATATACTCTCAAGTCTTGTATTTAGTTAATACATAGCAGAAACAAGATTTCACCTGGTATAATCTTTTTGTCTATATCCTGTATAAAGATAAACCTCTTTGCAGATATAATTTTTTACTGACAGGTTACAGGCAAGAAATTATGGTTTATTTTATCTGTTGGATTATTTATCAGGCTATATTAAGGTTAATTAATAATTAGATACAAAACACTCTGACTAAAGGTAGGCAGTACTTGAAGCCAAACTGCTTCTTATCTAATTATTAATTAGCCTTAATATAGCCTGATAAATACAGATCACTTGGTAATACAAGTGTATCAGGTAGTTGCTTAAGTTAAGGTTCAGAAAATATGTTGTTTATCAGTATAAAGATAAGCAAAACTCCATAATTGTTAATATCTAACTATATGGTTTATAGTAATTTGATTCAACAATCAGGTTTCTGTTAGATCATTATTAATTCAGTAAAATTAATATACAGAAAATACAACTACAGAATTGAATAAAATTTTCAGGTTAGTATCATTAAACAAATTTTAGAAATGTAGTAAGAAACAAATATAATTATCATCATAATCTACATTTAGCAAAGGTATTTTAACTTATTTTAAATTATATAGAAAATTTTTTAACTTAGTTATAGTCTCTTTTTTCAGAATTTTACAAAGTTATTTATTTATTTATTCTAACATTAATTGTCAAAATGTGAAAAGCAAAAATGCTTCAAGTTTGATGTTAAGCCAGAATTTCTTACGAAAATGATAAATGGAGACAACATTATAAATTGTAGTACACAACTGTAAATTGCAAAAGATGATTATTTGCTTTAAAATTTCACTTTAAAATACAAACACCACTAATAAATTTAACTGATCATAGAGGAGAAAGCATTGAGGAAACAATTACTTTAATAATTTTACACTTAATAGTATAAACAAAATACAAAATTGCAACGTTTAAGAAAGAAAATACTTTGCTTCCATTTATCATCCATTGTTATCTCCAGTTGACAGTCCACAGTTTCACAAGTACAAAGACGACCTTTCTTTTAAGGCTACTGCCTCTGCCATAAAATGCAAATATGGTAAATGTTGCAATTTTATATTTTGTTTATACTATTAAGTGTAAAATTATTAAATGTAATACTGTCGGCATAATTTATGTTTTATATTTACTGAAACAATTACTAATTAACTAATTAAACTAGAATTTCATGCAATTATTAAACTTAAATTTGGCATCATTTGTTTGGTTACAATAAAATGATATTTTGGCATATCTAAATCAGATAATGATATAGTTAAAAGTTAAGGAAGTTTGAATTCAGTATACCCATTTATTTTGAACAAAAATTTCAAATGTCTACAGAGGTTATTTAAAGAGGCCAGTTGGGAGGATATAATTTTTAAACTAAAGTTACACAACGAAGTCAAACAATTTTAAGTTGTTAAACTAGTTTAGCAGTTGTAATATGATCATAATTAGTTCAGTCAAACTAATTTCAAATGATCATGAAGTTAAATTTAGTTGATTTAAATTAAATGAGATTACCTAGGGTGTTTTGCTTTGGAAATATAATTTTGTTATCTGCAAATTTGAATTCCATTCTGATTTCAATACATGTATGTAACATTGTAGATTAAATACACTAAACTTATTTTGTACAAGTATCCCTTGTACAGCACAGTTCAAGAATTGGGGAAATCCCCTTACAACTCAGTTTGAGAATTGGTGACATCCCCCATACAAAATGTCACAATTTTTAAGTGCAAACACTGTCATTTGACAGGCTGGCCACATGCTGGACACATGGAGTTTTCTGAGTTTTGTTCACATTTATAACACCTAAATATGGGTCAGTTTCCCTTAGAAAGTTCTCTTGGAAATCATCCCCCTTCAACAGATCACCTACATGCCACATTACTGTATACAAGTAAAATCAAATTGAAAAGAAAGCATCCTCATTTAACAGTGTTTAGCAGTGAAAAAAATAATTAATACTAACATACAATTCTGTTTAATTGTGATTATTAGTTAATTATTGATTACTTTAATAAACATATTTCTCTTAATTACAAAAAAAGAATAGTATACTTTTGCTAACTTTTGGAGCCTAACCCTATGTTTTGTACTAGTCCTTTGTTTCATATAGCACAGATTCTCATAACAGAGTACTTTTTCAGAATCTAACTATCATGTTATACAGGAATATCTGTATTTTAATTAATGTTTACTGCTGTTTGATTAATGAATGTGGCCATCATGTCATGAGACAAGGAATAATATAACTAAGTTATCACAATTATTGTGAACAGCATAATACTTAATGTCAAACATAATTATTTTCTAAATGAGTTTAACTTTTGTAGTGTAAATATAGTATTATATGCAGCCCTGCTTATTAATAATGTACTTGTTTCTATTCTAATTACTGAATTAACAAGGTATCATATAGTAAAATCATATTAATAAGATATCATGTGTCAACTGTAGTAAAACACATAAAAACAAAAATTAACATAATTAAATCAAACCATGGTTTTCGAACACCACTTTCCGAACAATTTGGTTCATGAACAGCATTTTGAACTCATAATTGCACCAGTTGCCATACAAGAACTATTGCTGAACAAGCTACTTGGCAAGAGCCAGTCACAGATTAGACAGATATAAATGGTAAAATGTTTACACTTTTCATGTTAAAGGGTATGTTCATAAAGTCGAATGAGTTAAATGAGAATAATGTCAGCGTTATTCTTATTTCGTTAGACTTTTCAAACGATTTGTTTATAACTAAATGGCTGTTTCTAAAATCAAAGATATGAATGTTACTAGTGCAGCCTTATCCAAAATATTTTTCTTAGATTGCTTCGGGTGGACAGTTATTTCCATCATTTCACCTTTTAATTCACAGTTTAAATACTCAAGTAGATTTAGAAACATCGATATCGTTGGGTGCCATTTTCTTAACGAAGTGAACTAACTCTTTCCTTTGTGAACTTCGTTAGAGTTTCATTCGAAACGTCATCACTGCAGAGCATGCACACTAAGTGAGACTACTACTTTTCAAACGATTCGTTACTAATGCATTTAACTTGTTCGACTTTACAAACGTACCCAAAGAAAGTAGAGGGCCTGACCAATCAATAACAGGATTATTGATTCAGAAGTTAGTGATGCCAAGATTGCCTCACATCATTAGACATCACCACAAAAATCATCAATGATGTTATTTATATCAGTTTCAATGCACATGCAGGAAAGATACTGTTTCCATTTTTCAGTATGCATTGCAGTTGAATTTAAATCAAATTAATTAATTGACATTTATGTAATATAAATGGCATCTAAGAATTCGTGTTTAATTAAAGGTGCTTAAGTCAAATTAAATGACAAAAATTTANATGGCTTGTAGAACAGGTTGAAAATGTTTTTTAAAGTTAATAAATAATACTCAGTGAGGTAAGATGTTGTGGAAATTAAGAACTAAACAAATGTTTTTGACCATTTTAATAGGTTTTAATTAACATCCTCAGGTTTTAAATACATTCAACTATATCTTAAATTGTCTTATAAGGTGTTGTTGAAATTAAAAAGCATCTAGCTTGATATTAAGTATTTGTTTAGTTATAAAAATATTTTTTGACCCTGGATATTCTGGTTTTTTGATGTGTTTGTATATTCAAATTTCAATTATGAATTAAAAAATAAAAGTAAAAAATTTATTTTCTCTCCTGATATTCCCAACTTATTAATTAAATTTTTAATATTCATAAAGTTGAAAATTTCACATTTATTTCTTGATATGGGTAGAAATATATAAATTTATTTAAAATAGCAACAAAAACTTAACCAATCTAGCTTTAATTTGGATTAATAAAATTTGGAAAAATAATTATAAATTTCATTCTCTATTTCTCTCTCAAAATTATATTTTTAAGTAGCAACTGATATCCTGGCCATCTCCTTTATGAGCCATGATGGGTATGAAAATGACTTTCTTAATGCACACATAGTAAGAGAGTTGATGGCTGGATGGCCAAGGCAGTGATAAGGAGTCTGCCTATCATCTGGGAGATTCCACATCAAATTTGGGTAAACAACTCAGGAATTTTTCATGGGTAGTCACTTCTGAATATGTCACTCCTGTTCCTCACTACTTTGTCATCCCCAGTGTGTGGGCCTGGCCAAAGCCATATGGATACAAAAAAAAAAAATCCTCTCTTAGTACAGAAAGAGATAAAAACATGAAAAAGGGTAAGATTTCAAAAGAAAAATAATAATAACTATGTTAAGTTATAAAAGAATTATTAAAAAATGTTGCATTATAATAAACAAAATGTAAACTGTAATGAAAAAAACATTACATTATAAAAAAAAAACACAAAATGGACCAAAGTCAGCTAAATGAAATATATTTCTAAGATTATTATAATTAGAAATGATTAAAACTGGTTTGGAACAACTGAATTTTATTATTGATAATTCATTCACATAATTTAAAGTGACTCAATTGAAAATTTCAATATGAAATAAATTAATAAAAAATCTAATTCTAAATCTAAAAAATCTAAAATAAAAAATATAATCAAAATTATTTTATATCTACCCTGAGATCTAGAAGGCGATCTAGCATTCCTTTGAATTTGTTCTTCATTTAAAGAATTATCTTTATCATTAATGTTTTTTTGTAGTCTTGATTTATCGGGAAACATTTCAGGACTAGGAACAAGTATTTCCTGTTTTTCTTTGTTTTCTTTATGTAATTTTTCTTGAATCTGCAATTGAGCTTCATGATTTTCTAACTCTTGAAGGACATGTTTATGGTATTCTTCTGGCAGTGGAGGTCTTGGAGGAGCTTCTAAATCACTGGCCTGGTCTTGAGTCTTTATTAACCTCTGTGGATATTTTCTTGAAAGAGGTGACTGTAACATTCTTTGTTTCCATTCCAAAAGACGTTTCATAGACTCTTCACGTAACTGAGATTTTTTATCATCTGGGCAAGCTGTTGACTGTAAAGATGTTCCTATTTGATATCCTGTTGAAGCAGGTCTATTTTCTCTATTTCTACGATTACTACTTTGTTTTTTATCAACTGCTATCTCAGAATTTGATGATAATTTTTGACTTTTATTTCTTAAAGTTTCTGGAGTTTTATGGAAATGTTCATAAACATCATCTTTACAATATTGTTGGTCAACAGGCATATTTTGTAAACTATAATAATTTATATTTTGTTTTTCAAAAGAATTATTGTTATCTTGATAATAATGCATATGACTATGGGGTAAATTTTCTTTTTGCCAATATTCTTTATCATCTTCTCTGAGATACATGTCTTCATTACCATATCTGTAAGGATCATAACATTCTAAACTAGATTTTGGTCTTTGAGGTTGACTTGATTTCTTTTTACTAGATGATTTAGGCCGGTAAGCTATAGGAGCATTAAATGGATCTGAATATGAATCATGTTCCAGAAAATCAGCAGAATGAGGCCTTGCTGGAGGTATATTTTTATTATGAGTAGGTGATTTATATGGATTTGTTGAGTAATTATCATTATAAACAGTTTCATTATGAGGTACATAATCAAAGGATATTTTATTATATTCATTATCTCTATTTACATATTTGCTTTGCTCATTACTAAGTCGTGGACATGATGCACCATACCTGTATGGGAATGATTTTGCTAAATGTTTTTGATTTGTCATATCAAATCTTTCATCAATACTTTCTGTGCCAATATTATATTGTTCATTTGGTGCAATTGCATAGGGATCTTTCTGACCAGTACGTTTTGGTTTTGGAGGAGCATTTGCATACAAAGGTTGATGAGCTTTCATATAAGTATCTGGTGAGGTTGAATATGGTCGAGAAATATCACTTCCATAATGTCCTGGATATTTATCACCACTTCCCAAAAATTCATTTTCACTCAATTTTCCAGTAATATGAGAACTATCACTAAAGTTGTCTTTTCCAAATTCATTAGAAGAATGTTGAAAATGTAACTGTTCAGAAGCAAAACTGCTATTAAGAGTAGAATTAGGATCTTGAGTACTGCCATATCTTCTAGATTTATATGAGGTAAAGCCTGAATCTTCATCATCATTAGGAAGAGAGATTTTTGGACTAAGATTTCTAGAAGTCATTTCAGGACTGAAAAAGAAAAAAAATTNTTTTAGGATCTTTTTTAATGGAAAGAACTTTTTTAAAAAATAATAAAATTTATTCATTTTTATTAAGTAACAAATTAAGATAATGGTTGTCACAACCATGCTACTCTTCTTCAAATACAATAACTTTTCATTTCAATGATGCATCATATTATTCTGAAGTCATTTTAAAGATTAAAAAGTAGTTTTAATTTAATCATTTGCTACTGCAAAGCTCATTCAAACAAATATATATATGTTTTATACATAAAAGCAAGATTAATCAGCAGTGAGTCAGTTAATCAAAAGTTACTATAACTACTTATAAATGGCTTATTTATTTTTAGTATATTTACATTAGCATGCATTATTCAGTTGACTGAAATTCTTTGTTGATGATAATATTTGACAAGAATAAACAAGAAGAAATTCATAAAAATGAAGTACAATCCTTGCTTTAGGCATTTTCAGATACATTTTTTTTTTTTTTATGTTTTCATTAAAACAATTGTTTCTTAAATTGTTGCTTAACTTTCCCTAGCAACATTTGATGGCACCATTTGTTATCATATTTTATTAAAAAAAGCTTTTTAAATTTTTAAATATTACAAAATGGCAAAACGCTTAATTTTGAGGGTAGGAATGAGTTTTATAAAAAATTATAAATACTAATAACAAGTAAAATCATCATTAAGTCTGACCCCATTGGAGATAAACGACTCCCTTTATCTCCCCACCCCCTTGACCTTTAATCACCAAAATTTAATAGCATCAATTCCCCTAATAAAAAAACTTCCCTGCAAAATTTCAGAAAATTTCAACAAAAAGACAGGGTTATTAAGCTTCAAAGAGGATACACAAAATTGTGCCCACCACATGCACACACTAATATCCATATATACAGAAATACCCCAAATTTTTTTTTGCATTTATCAATGTTTCAATATGTCCTAAACTCAAAAATGTAAAATTCTTGGGGGTCATTTTTTGACCAATTGTCATATTTTCCCTCTGTTACATATAACAGCTGGAAAAGTAATAAGAAAATAAAATTTGCTAATAATGCTTATATTCAAACATAATTTTCAAGAAATAATAAATAACACTTCAAATAAATCATTGAGTAGTTTCATTGTGCTTATTTATGCAATACAAAATTTTACAAAAGAAATGATGGAAATTAGGATTAATTAAGCATTTGAACAGAATATATCTGAAAAATCCATTTGTATATATAGTTTCCAAGTACTACTTGATAATATGAAGGATGAAAACTATTCTTGTAAACTTTTAGTCCTTCTATTTCTGTGCACACTAAGACCTTTTTTTATTTATTTTTTAATCAAATCCATTGTGGGTTTGGCCAAGCCCCAAGGGGCAGCTGGGTGGTGATGGATAAGGTCCAATGTATTTGAGATAGACCAACATCCAATAGATTCTTGGGGTTTCAACCCTTCTAGATTCATTCCTGGATCCCCTATTCCAAGAGCAGCAGGCTGATGCCTTAATCACTTGGACATCTGCCCATCACAGGATAATTTTCAATACCATAATCATATTTAATTCTTTACAGTGAAAAAGCTTTGTTTTGAAGCAGAAATATAAAAATATCAATAATTATATAATAAAGAGAGAGTTTCCAAGATAATCACAGATTATAACTCATTAGAGCAATAAGCAACTATCTAAATATATAAAATTACTTGTCCTGACTGACTGATTCATCATTGCCCAGAGCAAACCGCTGAATCTGAAGAGGTGAAATTTGGCACACAGTTAGGGTACACCATGAGAATGCACACTAAGAAGGGATTTTTCAAAATCCCCCTGCAGGGGGAGAGGGCAAGGATTAAGGCTTAACTTGAAGAACAACTTCTACCGTACTATTTTAGATGCGATTTTTTGTTTTCAATTATGTTTAGTCTTCATTGAGTACTTAGGTATATTAAATTGATAACATTTCAGACATTGTTATAAATATTTTTATATATTTTGATTTTTTAACCAAATGTTTGAACCATTTTAAATTCGAATTTGTTATTGTGTATCAGTTCGATTATAGAATGATTGTAAACATTCCAGAAAATTGATCAAACTGAAAACAGTTTGTTTGATTCTCAGCAATTCTCATCATTCTCAGTGGTAGGTATTATATAACAATTACTATGATTATTGAAATACTGAATATAAATGGGGTTTGCTTGCAAAATCCACACGGGTGAAGTCACGGGTAACAGCTAGTTATTAATATAAATAATTGTAGATTTTTCTTTATTGTAAAACAAAACAAAGAAACCATATGCTACTTCTTTGTAAGCAAATTTTGGAAGAATCTTCCACAATTATTACTAATGCATATATTAATCCAAATGGATCAATATATGAAGAACAAATCCTCCATTTTGACTCCAAAAACTGCTCACCCTCTATTCAATCACATTTGTAATATTCTTCTTTTTAAAATAATTTTGCCTCTATTCATAGATTTTCATCTAGTAAGCCTCTCAATACTTGACTATTAATGTAGAATTTACAATCAATGTCTTCTAATTGTCCAAATTTCTTTTACAGTTTGCATCACTGCATACTTTTATAAAGTACAGTTGGCTGATTTCAAATTATACATTAATAATAATTGTGGAATATTCTTTCAAAACTTGTCCACAAAAAGAAACATGATAAGAAAACCATGATTTCAGTCAGTGGTGGATAGAAGGGAAGAGATGAAAAGGCTACAAATAAATTGTCATATGGCCCATCCCATGGATGACACAAATTATTTATTTGTTTAATACAAGTAAATTTTAATGTGTACAATTTTCTTATCTTCTACATTTAATTTTTGATATTTATTTCATTCTTTATTAATAATCTTGTGATACTATGATAGTCAATAAATGGAAAAAACTAATTATCATTTAATACCCTGTTCCCAACAGATCATAGCAATTAAGAAGTTTTGTTCTTGGCTTTAACTCTAGTTGGAGATGATATGGATTTGCTAATTGTTATTGCTAAATCCCAGAAGTTGCCAGTTCCAAGTCTGGATGAAAAGAGTAAAGGCTGGTTTATAGTACAAGCAACAGCAGTGTGGAGTTAAGGTTGCCAACTGTCACTGGAATTGACAAGATCATCATCTGGTTTATAGTCAAATTCTATAAAGCAGCTAAGCAGCTTTATAGAGTTGACATCTAGAAAGCAGCTTGGTAAAGTGGGTCACTGGCATCAAACATCAAAGTTGAACATTGTTCAATTTTGGAAAAGTTTCACACTAGACCAGAAGTGTATGTCTGTAGTTTGACATCTCGTGGAGCTGAGGATAGCAAATGTAGTGGAATTCCAAAAATCCCACTGTTGCAGTACCATGTTGCCATTGGAGTGTAAACTGGCCCTAGAAGTTGGCAATATAAAAAGCACTCACAGCCATCAACCCTTTATTGATGCCAAAATAGACTATAGCATAATAAACACTACCTAGAACATAGAAATAACTCCAAAGGAACAAGTGGGATTAATAGAGCTGTAGAAGAAGATATTAAAAATGTCTGTATTTTAAATTTTTGACTAACTATTAACATTTTTTGTAATTATTATTTACAGAGATGCAGCTGTTCACATCTGCACCAATGAATTACTTCATTTAAATTCACTGTTTGTTTTTTTTATAAAGAAATTGTAAATATGCACAATAAAGATACTGGAAGTAACAAACTTTTTAAACGTTTATTTAAAACCAACTCCATTAAAGTATCTAGAATCAAGATGTAATTCCTTAATTTAATTGGTACAATTTTTTTATATTTCTAATGATGGGTTTAGTAAATGCTTATGTCCTATTTCAAATAATAAATATAATTAATTACCTTCATTTTCTAGATGTACAGATGTTGAAGAATCCGAAGAACTATTAAAAAAATCTTGCTCTCTTATATCTTGTCTTTCAGTTCTCATTACACTATTTTGAATTTTTATCTGATGCCTTTGTAAGACTTCATGATGACTATATTTACATAGTAAGTTTTTTCCTAATGTCTTGTTAAGTTGAGAGTTTGACTCTCTACTCAACAGTGGTCCTATATTATTTCCTCCACCATCATAATTGGATCGCTGGCCTTCTGCTAAAAAAGAATCTAATGCTATTTGATCATATAATTCAAATGATTCATCTTTCGATGACTGCGTTTTCAATTGAGGAGTATTTCTTTCTTTTGAAAATCTCCCTAGAAAGTGACGTTTACTGGCATTTCTAAGAACATTCTGATCCAAATATTCAACATCTGAATCATGATCTTCATATTTAGAAGGAGATAAAGTTGACTTTGGTAATGTTTCATTTGTGTAGTCTCTTGTCAGAGAAGAAAATATTTCTTTATTTCTAGAGGAGGTAAAGTTTAATTGATCTGTATCAAAAATGGTGTGTTTAGCTGGTGATACTTGAGGACTAGCTATTATATCTCTATCTTTAATAGTATCTTCAAATGAATCATCAATTTCAGTTATTAATTTATGTTGAGCAAATCCAATGTTTTCATAAAATGGTTCTTCAATTTTTTCATTTGAAAAATGATACGGAAGCCAATCATTCTGATTCCTAACCTTACTATCACCATCTAATAATTCTTCTAATGATCTAGAGAGTCTTTTGACCGTGGCTCCCCATACAGGATCCAAATTTTCATAATGATGCTCATAACTTTTATTGAAATCAGGTGTAGCAGATCTCTGTTTCAGACACTGTAATGTTGATGATGTACTTCTCGTTTTCTCTAAAGTATGACCTGCTTCATATTTATTCCTTTCTGCGTCACGAAATTTGGATGATTCTGGAATTAAAAGATGTTCTAATGAATTTCGTACCTCTTGACTTACATGAGATATTTCGGAAGGAAAAATATGCTGATTTAAATTCTGTTGACAGTTTGATATATCTGTAGAAGAAAAATTATTTGGTGAAATAATTTGATTATTTTCAGATATTTTATTTACTTTTCTTCCTATATCACCTTTATTTGAATTAGAAGGACTTATATCTCTAACGTTATTTAACATATTTTGATTACTTCTTGGTGAGTAACATTTATCTAATAAAGGTGACTTTAGTAACTTTATATCATCTGTATCAGGTAATAAATCTGAATAATAGTAAGGAGCAGCATTTGGAAGCCTGCTTGACTGTCTGTTTGATTTTTTATTTGTAACTGTATCGTCTCGATCATCAGCTGGAACAACATCAGGAGTCAGAGATGCACAAGGACTTGTACTACTTGTTGCACAATCAATTTTATTTTCACAAATTAATTGATTTGGATCACTGGAACTAATTATTTCTAATGAATGAGGCAGGGAACCAGAACTCTTTAATAAATATCTTTCTGAATTTTGTGAACTGTGTTCTGATTTAATTTCATTTGGAAAAAAATTTACATTAGATACATCAAATGATGATTTTTCTGAATTATTTACAATTGATTCTGACATATGCTTGTGAATAATAGGAAGAGAAGATTTATTTCTTAATTTTTTATTTTCAAAGAAATCTTTAACTTGTTTTTCATTGTTTGATTTATTTGTTAAATATTCCTTTTCCACTGGTATCATGTTGTGAAGAAAGTCTGAGAATCGATTTTCATCATTACATGTCTGATGATTTAAAGCATGAATCAAACCTGATTCACATGGATCAGATTCTGCAATTTTAGTTGTCTTTGTCAATAAATCTGTACTAATATCTTTAGTAGTAGATTCATTGTCAGATAAATCTTGAATCTTTATATTTTTAGATAACAAAAATAAAGTTTGTGCATTATGATCATCATCTGTAGACATATGTTCATCAACAGATGATTGTTCACCTAATAAAATAGCTGTTTGATAAGGTGGCAAACTGAGATTTTTTGGTGTATCAAAATCCCTACTTGCTTCATCATCTGCATCAGAAGCATCTGAATCTTTCATCTGAAGTAAATCTGGAATTGAATCATTTAACTGTGATGGAATATCAGATTCTAAAAATTCTTCCATACATAAAGGTTTCTCGGGTGGATGCAGTCTATTAGGAGAAAAGTTCAGCATTTCAGGGAATTCTGGCTTTTTATTTGGAATATTAGTTATCTCATAAATATCATTTGAGCTGTGATTTTTCATGGAATAAAGTGATTTCTGACTAGTTTCATTAAATGATAAAGAACTTAAAGAAGGTTTTTTAGATGTGGATTTAATCAGCAAATTTTCTGTATTTTCTAAGTATTTGGGCTTTTCATAAATGTTTTCTGAAGAAGAATTTCCCGAACTTTGCAAATCATATGGAAAGTGAGAATGTTTTGATTTTTCATATACATCATGTAAGAAACTGGGTGGAGGTGATATTGGTTCATTATACAATGGTTCATCATCTACTGATGGTTTATCAGTTTGATCTTTTAGACAACTAGTGATACCTGAAGAAATTTTAGACTTATCTTCATCCATGGCAACATACTCAGGTTCCTCTGAATTCTTTTTGCCACTCATAGGCAAATATGCTTCTTCTTCAGCTTTAGAAATTTTTAAACTACTGATTTCACCCGTTTCTTTGTCCTCTACTAAACTTAATCTTAAAGCACCTTTTGTTATTATGATTTCATCAATTCCATTTTCCTCTTTGCCCAATTTCTTCTCTCTCCCAGTATCTGCTGTTCTCCTTAAATCAGCTAATACTGAAGAGAGTGGTGATAAAATAAGGGGAGCAGATTTATTTGTCATGATTTCTTCATTAGATTCATCATTTTTACTATCATCAAGCAAAACAGCTTCAGAATCACTAAAAAACTGTCGTGGATATATGGGACTATTATAAGTTATATTTTCTTTATTTAATAATATTTCACTTGCATTTTCACCAAATAAATGAGAATCTACATTTAAATTTTTACAAGAAATTTCTTTTTTTTGTTTTTCATTACTTCCTACATTCTTTTTAATCTCTCCATTGCTATGATTAGGAGAGGTTTGTTCAAAATGTTTTATTCTATTCTGAACAATATTTGGTGGAGGTGCCTCCTTTTGCTTTTGTAAAAATGTTCTCATCTCTTCAAAACTACAATTTTTCATTATATGAGAAGGTATTTCTAAATTTTCTGGTTTATTCTTTTCTTGTAATTTTGTAATATGTGTCTTCTCAGATAAACTTTCGTTCTTTATTGCATTATTATCAACCAAAAGACTGCTAGGGGAACTAAAATTTAGGCTTTGACAATTACTATCTGATTTATTATGTATCAATTCATTACCAGAATTATCTAATTTATGAATTCTTGGAAAGCTATTAATACGTAATTGCATTTTCTTCTGTCTTGCATCTTTCATTCTTGCACTACCTGGATATGGTGGTAGCGGCAAGCCAACATCTTTATCTAGTTCCCAATTTGTGCATGAAGGTTTACCCACATTTTTCCAATAATGGGTATCATAAGTCTCTATACCCTTTTTAACATCAGCTGGCTTTTGCTGTAATTTAATATCGGGTTTTAATTGATTATTTTCATTATCAATCTCTTGGGATATATCTGAAGCTTTTTGTTTTTCATTACTTTTGGAAATATATTTTTCCTTTACTTTAGTACCTTGAGATAATGAATAAAATAATTGTGATGCTTTATAATAATCTTCCTTTTTTATTTGAAAATATTCTTTTTTATCATCATCTTCTGTACTTTTAGATAACAGTGGCAAGTCTGGTTCATCCAAATGATTTTTATAGTCACTATACTGTTTAGAATAAGTATTTACATCTTGAATTTGCACTGGATATCCTTCACTTTTCAGACTCTCTTCTGACACTGCAAGATTTCTCAAGTCTTCTTCAGCAGGAATCGATCTGATCTTGCTTGATCTACCAAAAACTTCACATTTAATATTAGTATTGTTAATACTATCATCTAATGTTCTTATATTGACATAGTCAGGTGATGGCGATTCATTTATTTTTGACATTGATCCAGTTTTTGTCGCCAAGCACTTCTCAATACTGCTTCTTCTTGTTTTGTTGCTCTGTGATGGACGTCTTGTTCTTTTTCGATCCTTTATGTTATATTCTTTAATACAGAAGAAAACTATATAATAATCTATAGTTGACAGAAATATTATTAACAAAATTTACATTTTAAAAGCAAAAATATCATGCCAATAATAGGAGAAGTAATCTGTTAGTTTTAATTAGTCCATGCATCAACTCATGTTCTGCAACTTTGGCTACTAGTTTTGTATTAAATTTAAGCAGATTGTCTTCATCATTTAGAGCTGATATCTATTAACTTTTAAAGCATGAAATGTTATTAATTCAAAATAAGTTAAAAAAATAAGAAAAATGAAANTTTCAATGCACATGCAGGAAAGATACTGTTTCCATTTTTCAGTATGCATTGCAGTTGAATTTAAATCAAATTAATTAATTGACATTTATGTAATATAAATGGCATCTAAGAATTCGTGTTTAATTAAAGGTGCTTAAGTCAAATTAAATGACAAAAATTTATTATATTATATATAATATTACATTGCAATTGTAAGCACTTTTATGAATAAAATATGTTAAAAAGTTTTAAAAAACAAGAAAAAAAGGGGCTTTATTTTGGGGATCAAAATAAATGGATGGATTAATCCATTTTATATTGTTCCTTATGGAAAAATTTGTTTGTTTTGAATAAATTGGTTTTAGAACAACTTTTAAGAATGGATTATGTTTGAAAACCAAGGTTTGACTATAGATTTAAAATAAATTATTTAAATTAAAAATAATAGAAAAAAGTAAATATTCAATTTTAACTGTTTTGCCTAGGAGGTCTCCAGCTGAAATGCTTAAACGTTTTCCTTGACTAGAAAGACCTTCTGACTGATGCACTAATTTTTTTAATCTAGATGGCTGAAAAACAAATTTATTAAAAATATTTTATATCTATGAAAAACCAATTTCAAATTATTTTATGAGATAAACATTAAACAAGAAAAATGCAACCATTACTTACAGTTCTCACGTGGATTTCGGAATCAGACATATTAGGATCTTCTTTGCAGGTTCTGAACACACCAATGTTGTTATCACCAAGTGAATCTAATTTATCATTTACTGAATAAGATGATGATAATTTCTGCATTGATGAACCTATTTAATAGTTTAAATTATGTATATATTTTTAATTTCTCAAAATTTTAAGTTTTNCTTCTTACTCAGAGTCATGTTTTAACCATAGAAGAATAAGCAGGTTAACATAACTCCTACAGTTTCAAACTTATAACACACCCTGCATTAACTTATCCATAACACGATTTAAGATATAATTGAATATATTTAAAATCTGAGGATGTTAATTAAAACCTATTAAAACGGTCAAAAACATTTGTTTAGTTCTTAATTTCCACAACAACATCTTATTTCACTGAGAATTATTTATCAACTTTAACATTTTCAACCTGTTCTACAAGCCATCTTCAGGATTTTAAAATTCATGGAACATTGATAAGTTCTTTTTGAATACAATAGTTAAGAATGCATTTAAAATACAAAATTCTTTGGAATAATAAGCATAATTGAATCCAAAGAATATATTACAGTAATATATTCTTTGGATTCAATTATGTTTTTTCAATTATGTTTATGATTCAATTATGTTGGATTTTAAATTGTATATATATATATATACAATTTAAAATAATAAAACATAATAAGATATATAAAAAGAAAAAAAAAAAAAATTACATGATTCCATGAATTTTTAAAAACATGAAGATGGCTTGTAGAACAGGTTGAAAATGTTTTTTAAAGTTAATAAATAATACTCAGTGAGGTAAGATGTTGTGGAAATTAAGAACTAAACAAATGTTTTTGACCATTTTAATAGGTTTTAATTAACATCCTCAGGTTTTAAATACATTCAACTATATCTTAAATTGTCTTATAAGGTGTTGTTGAAATTAAAAAGCATCTAGCTTGATATTAAGTATTTGTTTAGTTATAAAAATATTTTTTGACCCTGGATATTCTGGTTTTTTGATGTGTTTGTATATTCAAATTTCAATTATGAATTAAAAAATAAAAGTAAAAAATTTATTTTCTCTCCTGATATTCCCAACTTATTAATTAAATTTTTAATATTCATAAAGTTGAAAATTTCACATTTATTTCTTGATATGGGTAGAAATATATAAATTTATTTAAAATAGCAACAAAAACTTAACCAATCTAGCTTTAATTTGGATTAATAAAATTTGGAAAAATAATTATAAATTTCATTCTCTATTTCTCTCTCAAAATTATATTTTTAAGTAGCAACTGATATCCTGGCCATCTCCTTTATGAGCCATGATGGGTATGAAAATGACTTTCTTAATGCACACATAGTAAGAGAGTTGATGGCTGGATGGCCAAGGCAGTGATAAGGAGTCTGCCTATCATCTGGGAGATTCCACATCAAATTTGGGTAAACAACTCAGGAATTTTTCATGGGTAGTCACTTCTGAATATGTCACTCCTGTTCCTCACTACTTTGTCATCCCCAGTGTGTGGGCCTGGCCAAAGCCATATGGATACAAAAAAAAAAAATCCTCTCTTAGTACAGAAAGAGATAAAAACATGAAAAAGGGTAAGATTTCAAAAGAAAAATAATAATAACTATGTTAAGTTATAAAAGAATTATTAAAAAATGTTGCATTATAATAAACAAAATGTAAACTGTAATGAAAAAAACATTACATTATAAAAAAAAAACACAAAATGGACCAAAGTCAGCTAAATGAAATATATTTCTAAGATTATTATAATTAGAAATGATTAAAACTGGTTTGGAACAACTGAATTTTATTATTGATAATTCATTCACATAATTTAAAGTGACTCAATTGAAAATTTCAATATGAAATAAATTAATAAAAAATCTAATTCTAAATCTAAAAAATCTAAAATAAAAAATATAATCAAAATTATTTTATATCTACCCTGAGATCTAGAAGGCGATCTAGCATTCCTTTGAATTTGTTCTTCATTTAAAGAATTATCTTTATCATTAATGTTTTTTTGTAGTCTTGATTTATCGGGAAACATTTCAGGACTAGGAACAAGTATTTCCTGTTTTTCTTTGTTTTCTTTATGTAATTTTTCTTGAATCTGCAATTGAGCTTCATGATTTTCTAACTCTTGAAGGACATGTTTATGGTATTCTTCTGGCAGTGGAGGTCTTGGAGGAGCTTCTAAATCACTGGCCTGGTCTTGAGTCTTTATTAACCTCTGTGGATATTTTCTTGAAAGAGGTGACTGTAACATTCTTTGTTTCCATTCCAAAAGACGTTTCATAGACTCTTCACGTAACTGAGATTTTTTATCATCTGGGCAAGCTGTTGACTGTAAAGATGTTCCTATTTGATATCCTGTTGAAGCAGGTCTATTTTCTCTATTTCTACGATTACTACTTTGTTTTTTATCAACTGCTATCTCAGAATTTGATGATAATTTTTGACTTTTATTTCTTAAAGTTTCTGGAGTTTTATGGAAATGTTCATAAACATCATCTTTACAATATTGTTGGTCAACAGGCATATTTTGTAAACTATAATAATTTATATTTTGTTTTTCAAAAGAATTATTGTTATCTTGATAATAATGCATATGACTATGGGGTAAATTTTCTTTTTGCCAATATTCTTTATCATCTTCTCTGAGATACATGTCTTCATTACCATATCTGTAAGGATCATAACATTCTAAACTAGATTTTGGTCTTTGAGGTTGACTTGATTTCTTTTTACTAGATGATTTAGGCCGGTAAGCTATAGGAGCATTAAATGGATCTGAATATGAATCATGTTCCAGAAAATCAGCAGAATGAGGCCTTGCTGGAGGTATATTTTTATTATGAGTAGGTGATTTATATGGATTTGTTGAGTAATTATCATTATAAACAGTTTCATTATGAGGTACATAATCAAAGGATATTTTATTATATTCATTATCTCTATTTACATATTTGCTTTGCTCATTACTAAGTCGTGGACATGATGCACCATACCTGTATGGGAATGATTTTGCTAAATGTTTTTGATTTGTCATATCAAATCTTTCATCAATACTTTCTGTGCCAATATTATATTGTTCATTTGGTGCAATTGCATAGGGATCTTTCTGACCAGTACGTTTTGGTTTTGGAGGAGCATTTGCATACAAAGGTTGATGAGCTTTCATATAAGTATCTGGTGAGGTTGAATATGGTCGAGAAATATCACTTCCATAATGTCCTGGATATTTATCACCACTTCCCAAAAATTCATTTTCACTCAATTTTCCAGTAATATGAGAACTATCACTAAAGTTGTCTTTTCCAAATTCATTAGAAGAATGTTGAAAATGTAACTGTTCAGAAGCAAAACTGCTATTAAGAGTAGAATTAGGATCTTGAGTACTGCCATATCTTCTAGATTTATATGAGGTAAAGCCTGAATCTTCATCATCATTAGGAAGAGAGATTTTTGGACTAAGATTTCTAGAAGTCATTTCAGGACTGAAAAAGAAAAAAAATTTAAATATTTTACTTAAATGATAAAAATATTTAAAAACTTAGAAAAGTACTATATTGGTAATCACATTAATAAAATGAGAATTTAAAATAAAAAGTTAAATATATAAAAATCAATTGATGAAAATTCATTCTAATAATCATTAATAAATTTTTACCCAAAAACTAACTTTTTCAATTTAATTACAACCTTTAGAATGTTACAGATAATTATGAAACTGAATAAAATTCTATACATATATAGCATAATTTCAATTAATAATGGGAATTTTAAACTAACGTTACCAAATAAAATAAAAATTTAAATCTTGATAAATTTAAGTTAATGAATTTCTGATGTTCTTATTATGTTATCTAGTATTTTATTACTAGACAAATAATGATTGTAATAGTAAATTAAGTTATTTCATATACACAGGCCTCTGAGAACCATTTTCCCTCTGAAAAAGTGAGTTGAAATACAGAAATAGTGAGTAAAAAGAGTGCAATAGTGACAAAACAAAGTGAAAACATGGAAGGAAAACTCAGCAAAATAGCAGTAAAAGTTGTTTTTTTCTTTTTCCTTCTTTTTATTCTGTTATGGTTAAATATATTTTAAAAATTTCTGTATATACTGTAATACAGTAGCCACTCGTTATATAGCGCTTTTTGGTCCTCCAAATTTTAAAAGCACTTGTGGCAATAAATTTAAAATTATCAATTGCCATTGAATTTCTATTTGCAATGAAATACAGAATTTTATTTCTACCATTGTCCTTGAAACTACCACTGAAGGTGAAACAATAAATTTGTCAAGATCTAAAAATGAGACCCTATGGCTTTGGGGAAATGGATTTTGATGATCTTTGGTTTAGAGGTAGTACACCTCGTGATTGTACTAACTGTAAAATACTAAAGTGCAACACTCAAATATAATCGAGAAAAACGAACTTAAAGTTTTCTTTAACACTTTATATATAAGTTACATGTACTTCTGCTTGAGTGTGCTGTGGTGTGAGCAGTAACACTCCTGACTTGTACGCTTGCATGCTTGGGTTTGATTCTCTTGTGTATACTTTTTTCCTTTTTTTTTAAAATTCATAAATACTTATAATGTATTTATTTGTTTACTCATTCATTTATTTCTTATTATTTATTGATTTTTGAATTTTTGTTTTGAATGTTTTTACCATAAGTATCATTCAGGATCATGTACAGTACATCTGACAATGATATGTAATTATACAATATTGCTTCAATATATTAAATTCGCTTTTCTCGATTATATTTGAGTTTTGCACTTTAGTATTTTACATCACTACACTGTTTCGATACATCACTGTATAAAGAATTATCATCAACAGTTTTTTCGTCACAACGAAAATATGCAAAACAGATAGACATATCAATTGTCATTTGTTCCTTTTGATATTAAATATTATTTATTAGTTTTAAGTACCCTCTCCTCATTTAAAAGTTTCTGTGAATTGAAAATTTCACACCTTTATATGAATTGACAGCGTCAATTCACATAAAGGTGTGAAATTTCAAATTCACTGATATGTGTAAGGAAAAAGATTTCTTTAATTCTGAACAGAAAGTTTTTATACTGTAGTAACTTTATCCTCCTTTTTAAAGAATTTTTACTCTTTGTAATTTTATAAGTTTTGATGGTTCTATTATATGTTCCATATTTATTTTTTTAAATTTTCAATTACAGCATTTATAATTTTTATTGAAAAACATAAATTACACGAAGTTTTAATAAGCAATTTATTGTAAAATACAGTTGACCCCCCTATAAGATCATTGATTTTTCCGTTTTATCTGAATTACATGTTGTACGAGTCACTTAGATTTTACAAATATGTGAGCCATTCACAGTCCGGCACACGTATTTGTAAAATCTAAGTGACTCGTACAACATGTAATTCAGATAAAACGGAAAAATCAATGATCTTATAGGGGGGTCGACTGTATAGTATTGTATAATAAAATCGTAACTGTACATATATAATTATGATCCATGTCACATTACAAAAAATCATAACTCATATTTTGTTTTTACAGTAAATCGACAGTATTTGTCTTTAAATGTTATTGTTAAAGAAACAATGCTAAATGGGGTTGGTGGTATTGATGTTTACATAAATGTCAATTAATACGAGATAACCAAGAATAAATGTCAATTAATACGAGAATAACCAAGAATTAATAACGAGATAACCAAGTTCAGTATTGAAAAACTAAGCTTATTTTATATCAAAAACACTTGCTGATGAAAGAATAGAGGATAGAAATTGCATAGCATGTATAATCTGTTTAGAGGCCCCAAAATTTTTAGTACTCAATTATATTGCGTTTTTTCTTTGTCTCCCGACAAGTGCCAATATAAGAAGGAACTACTGTATTTCCAGTAAACTGTGAATACTTAAAAAGTCTTTGACATCTGTAAATAATCAGTAATGAAAAATGACGTTCTTTCATTCTGATTATTCTGGATGTTTTCAGCTTCCTTTTTTTGGTTCCTATTGCTTTTGAACACTTAACATTAACAAGCATTACATGTGCTCCTATACTTCTTTCTAGCTGTTAATGGCCTTCTCCAGTTTTTTTTGTTTGCTGTTTTTAACAAAACTTGGCCTGTTGCATGTATTTTCACTTTCTTCTGGTTTAAACACTCTTTCCTACATTGATGAACTATCAGGAGGAAGTGCTGGGCGAGAAATTGAAAACCCCCGTTTGACATCAGTATTGCCATGAGAGAGAGGTCAATGCCGATTTCACTAATTTGGCTACACTGGGACATCTATCATGATCAGAAACTGTTTATTTTTTAATGCTTTGAGACGTGTAAATATTGATTTCAAAATAAATTAATACTGTATTTACTCGCATATAAGATGAGGTTTTATTCATTTTTCATTGCTTCAAAAACCTAGGCCATCCTATACGCGCAAGCAAAGGATTCTTTACGCTTTTGTAATAATTTTTGTTAAATAGCCTGATGTTTCCTGGGCAAAAAATAAAAACAAACATTAAAGTTATTTCATACTTCTAACCTTTCTATTATATTATATTATAGTATTTGATTTATACTTACAAAGATTAAATTATGTAAGAGTTTATCACATTGTAAAAATTCTTTAATTAAATTGTATACAGTAGAGGAATAAAGAATTTTTAAAATGCATTAGATTGGTCACTCAGTATGATAAACCCTTATGTAAGATAACCTTTGTAGTTATATAAATCAAATACTATAACAAACATTAAAACAAAAAACCATATAAAGAGTTTGGTTATTTCAGCCTACCAATGTCACGTTTACTGCGATACTCAGATGGTACGAAATTGCACAATTTCGTTGATCAAGTAGACACTAATTGAAAATATATTTTAAACTTTTTAAGATATCATATTTTTTCCTAATGTTAACTCTAAGAAATTGTGCCATTCACAGACAAATATCAAATGGTAATCTGCCAACCATTTGATATTTGTCTGTTATCTGTTATCAAACAACAGACCAAATGTCTGTTATCAAACAACATAGTCTGTTATCAAACAACAGACCAAATGTTGAAACTCAACACCCTTGAAAACCACTTAAATCATATTTTGTGCTGGCAGTAACCTTATATTATGTAATTTTCCTATTTGAATGCCACCGTACTGCTGGTCTGATAGAAAGAAGGGAGTTGCAGTTAATTTGGCCAAAAGTAGTCATTCACCTCTTCTAAAAAGAGAGGATGGTCAACGACTACTAATTAATACAGGTCTACTATTAATATTTGAAAACTGACCCATGTTGGATGAGTTGTGATGGCCCTGCACTTGATCAAAGTTGTTAACCTTAACATTCATAAGACTTTGTATGACTTACTTAAATAAAAAAAATCTTGTAAAAATTCTAGAATAATTGCTTTTATGTGATGACAAATTTTTAAAAATTTTGGCAACAGATTGTATTCTCATAAATATTGTGTTTATGGAAAAATTAATGGGCTGCAAATTGAAAAAACTGTAGATCCATAAATTCCCACTGTCTTCCCTTATCTATTTGTCCTTCCTTAATCTCGAGAAAGGAGTTAGATAGATGAAAGTCAAAACCAGATATGGAAATCGTAAGAGAAAAGCACCAGATTAACTATATGTGAACTTCCAATTTGTACCGCAAGTCACATTATTTCAATGCAAAAATTTTCCCCCAAATGGTGTTACATACATAATCAGCACAACTCTATTGCTAACAGGAAAAGTATAATGTACAGGGACATAACACTACTACACTCCACGTAGGCAAGTGCTATGTGCTACCTGTCACAGTGATGGTGTAATGGTGCATCTATTTTGCACTTTATCATTGTCACAGTAATTCAGTGAATATAATATATATATTTTTAAATTATATCCCTTTTTTAATGTAAGAATTATATTTAGTTAATTAGTTTGTTAACTTTTTTTGCCAACATATGGTATTACATATAACTCAGAAAATTGACTGTAAATAAAAATTGATATTTTGAAGTGGGACATATGGCATGATTTAAGTTAAAAGCATTTAAATGTAACTAAAACAGTCAAGGAGTGTATAGCAAACAAACAAACATCTCATTTATATATATATATATATATATATAGGTTTTGAATTTATTTTTGTGTATTTGGTAAGATAAAAGAAGAAATAATATTTTAATATTTTTAAAAGAGAAAAGTTTATTTAATACAGTAGAGCATCGTTTATCTGAAAGTCGATCAACCGAAACATCGGTTAACCGAAAGTGTTCCAGTCTGACTGTGTCATGCTGAATTGAACATTTTAGAAACTAGGTTAACTTCCAAAATATAATTTTTTTGTTTTTATATTTTTCAATATATTTATTTTGTTTGTACAAAATAAAGAAATAATTTTTAATGATACAATAGCCGCGATTATTATTTTAAAAAATTTACATTAGGCTTAACATCAACGAAAATTCAATGCAATGCGACAAGCAACGGAGAAAAATTTCAACACGGGATAGGTTAATATATTTTTTTGGTACATAATCAGTTATCTAAAAAATAAGTTATGCGAAAAACCCCAGTCCCCAATTGATTCGGATAAACGATGCTCTACTGTAGTTTAGAAACAAATAATTATAATTTACCTAAGAGTATTCTGCACAATTGAAGCTAATGACATAACATTCATCCATTGAGCCATACCTTCTTTAGAATCAGAAGCAAAATAATAAGTTTTCATATTATGATGTTCTGCCTAGGATAAAATTAAAATTTTGCTGAGGTTTATTAAATGAAATAAGGTCATTAAAATATACAAATTTAAATAATAATTTGTTTAAAGCTTAATTTTAATTTATAAAATTTTTCATAGCATAAGCTTAATTGTCAAAACAATTTTTATACTTTGTGTGATAAATTATTTAATAGATTAATATAACAACTGATTGAGAAAATTTGCCAAACCTGATTTTTAATTAAATTAAAATAAACTATTCAAATTGTTATAGACAAAATGTAAATCATTATGTACAATATACATGCCACCCACAGACAGAAACCAAGATAAAACCAACACCAAAGGAAATTAGTTCAGTTCCCACTTACTGCAAAGAATTCTTCAAGCTTCAGTTACTTATAACTAAAACAGAATCTAAATAAGACATTTATAGAATTTAACTAGACTAAACATGTTTTGACTAAATATTTCTTTTACAAATGCTATGAAATTTATAAATAATAATTGAAGAGTTTGGGTGTAAAAGGTTGTAACCTATATAAACTTAGTTTTCAGGAAAATGTGAATAAAAGATTTTTATTATTTGCCAGTGTGGCTTACTATGCCTCTGACTTCACTGTCCCTTTATGCCTCTGACACTTCTGAACATTTCATAAGACAGACATTAGATAGAGCAACCAATCAGTAAGGATAATTCAAAATTTTATGAGTTATCACCTTTTACATACAAATCCTTCAATTTATATATTATTCCTCATTTTTTAATAATAAATGTCTTAATTTTATAAACAAAAAATTCTATTTCTCATGTTTTTATTAAGCCAATTACCCACTTTAAAAGCAAACTTTCGAGATATTTTATCATCACTTGAGCAAGCACTAATCTTGTAACTAGGAAGTAGAATTGATCCAAGAACTTTCTCTTCATCTGGGCCTACAAAAAAATAAATATATTTTAATATTCTATATTATAATCTAAATAAAACAGAAAAGATAAAAGCATATAAAACGTTTTAAAGTAATTTTAAAAAAAAATCAAACATATAAATGTTATGTATTATACATGAAAAAACTTTTCATACATAATACATCCTTATTTCAAATTTCGTTGTACCTTTGTAATAAAAGAGGCAGAAGTCAGCCAGTACAAACCAACGTTTTCTCCATTGTTTTAAGGCACCACCTTCCAATTTATACAACCAACCTTCCATTGATACAGGTGAATGACTATTCCTTTTTACTACTGGAGATCTACAATAAAAAAGGAATGATTCATAAAGAAAACTGCAAAATTTGAAAATTATATAATCTATATATATTATATTATACAAATTATATGTTTGAATATCAAGTAGTTAAAGGAGTGAAATTGGTTAAAGACTCATTTTGCTAAGACCAATAGAAGACATTTAAGACAAAATTTTCTGAGTAATCTATGTAAATACCAATCAATGATGAATTTTATAAAAAGAATATTTCAAGAAAAGATTATTCTTTACATCAAAATATTAATTTTAAATAATTATCATATTTTAAGTTGGATTGGCTTGATAGATATGGCAATGCAATATATGGGTGATGTGCCAAGGAGGAGTGCCTCTCAGAAGGATCTTCTGTAGGAAAGTGACCCCTATTTAAATGTTAGACATATGAGAAAAACAAAGAAAAGTTCATAATGACCAGTACATGGTCAGTATAAACTCATGACCAACTACAGTGATGTAGTTACCTTGTACTTAAAATTTAATTCATTCCAGGAGGCCATTCAAACTCTGAATCATTTGAAGTATAAAGCAATTTTTCCCATTAGAAATAATGGTAAAAAAATTAATTCATGCCTAGACCCTAAACAATACACATTTTAATAAAGTTGAAACAGCAAATACACATATTTTAAGGTAAAAATAGCAATTAAATGTCCTGATAATAAATTAAAACATGAAAACAATAAATAAAATACGTAAATACTGTATACTGTATAATAAAATGAAAATTGCACTAACTGCACACTGTCTTGATTTTGACATCTTAAACGTGACCACCAGATCTACCACAAGTGTACTGTTTTCACAAAGTTTCACAATAATTTCCTTTTTCACCTCAATTATCAATATTACAACCTTCCTCTTAGGCTTTGTTGCTTCCATGCACTTTCAGATGGCATGGTTAATAGATAAAGTTTATATTAGGTTGGAAAGACTGTTTATAGATATTTTTAGCATCTGTCATAACTTACCATAGATGAACAAACAAATTCACACCTAAATGCTAATTCCAGAAGTAAATGAACAAATAAACTTTAGTGTTCAAACGTTTTCCTGACAAGGGCCTCTGAAAGACAGCCGAAAATGTTTGAACATTAAAGTTTCTTCGTTCATTTACTGCTGGAATTAGCATTTAGGTGTGAATTTGTTTGTTTATTGTATAGTTCCAGTTTATGTATGCCAGTTTTTTTGTCCGATTAATCATAGATTTGCCATTTAATGATAAAAGGTGTAAAATTTAATATCCACTTGAGAACTGTTGTGTAACTCCATTACACAAGGGTTCTCAAGTGAATATTGTACAGCAACTCCAATCTGTAGAGAGTTTATGATATTTGTAAAATTTAAGACATTATTGCTAAAGTGAGATTTTACTCTTTGTTTAGAAGCTTATTTTAAACTTTTTACTTCCCATTTTGTTTAAATAAAATCAAGTCATAACATCTTTGGATAAAAAGCTTATTATATATATTAATACAATCTGCACAGAACTACTGGTATAAAGTAATAAAAATAATTTCAACCATATGTAATTACTGACAAACCAGGGGCTTACACCCATTGTTTGATAATGGAGGATAGGAAAACAGATCTGGATTACATTTCAAGCAAAGCCAAGCATACCCTGCATACCTTATCAATGCTCTTATTGTATGCCAAGAACATCCAACAGAACCATTACAATCAAAAGATGGGTCTTTTTTAGTTGTTACTTATAATAAGGTCCTTGCCAGCATCTACAAGGAAATATTCCACTTTACAAGTTATAGGATTGCTTACAGGAGGTCTCCTACTGTTTTTTCTAATATTAGAAATGATAAGGACTAATTGGAGAGAAACTGCAGAAACAGAAGTCTATACTATCCCTCTACATGAGATAGGGTGAATCGTTCATGTGAATACAGTGTGTGATCAGTTAACAAACAAATCAAATAATGAACACTTTCGCAAAAGATTTTTATGTTCGGACAATGAACACATGATCGGATAACAAATACCCCACAGAACAAACACAAGAAGAAGCGACGTAAAGTAATGAATACCTATTGGTCTTCCCTTCTCTTCGGGCAACAATTTGAAACTTTTCGGAGTGTGGAAGATATCAACATCGATGCTCAAGCCAGTATATACTGATCAGATAGTATTCCTCTGAACTTTGAAACTCTCCCTTGTAATTCCAGCCTTTTATTTTTCTGACAAAACAATTCTTTTATGTATTCGCAAGACTGTCGGGTAGGCACTCGTTAAGTTTTGCATCTGTTTTTCTTTTCAAAAGGTGAGAGTATAATAGCAAAGGTAAAGAGAGAGTGGGCAGAAGATGCCTAATGTTGCTGGGAAGTATGGCGTAAACATGTCTACAGTAGGCTGCAGTTCAATCTTATTTAAGAAAAATACTGTATAATCAAGAAGACTGAAGCAGCTAAAGAAGTAACAAAAATCACATCTGAGAAATAAAGAGTTCATAATGGAACTTGAAACGGATCTGATGACAGAAGAACACCAAGAACTCTTGAATGAAGAACACCAAGAAACTTGGCAAAATATGTTTTCTTCTGAAAAAAGAGGATTAATGCCGATATCTGTTATTAAAGATCCTTTGAAGAAGTGGGAGAATGTCAGAACAATGGTCTTAAAATGGCATCCAAACCAGGTTGAGGCGTGGGGATTTCTACAATTGCAATGCTATTAATTACTTACAAAAAAATTCTGAAGAAGAGAGAAAAGAAATCGACATTAGAGATTCTTTAACCCTTTCAAATGGAGAAAACATGACTAATGAAAACGCAAGACTGTGTATGTATACAGTTTTATTATTACATATAAATAAATGTAGTAAGAAAGTATATATTTTTTATTTTTGGGGTCTCTAGAACGAATTAATTAAATTCCCATTAAAACCTATGGTAAATTGATAATCGGTTAACAAACAATTCGGATAGCAAACAAAGTCTTGGAATGGATTATGTTCGTTAACCGATCACCCACTGTATATTGGAGCTATTGCTCGTGGGCTAAAAATAAGGATCAGGGAGTACAAATATACAACTCAGAAGGGTCTTTCCACTACTGCATTAGCTTCTTTTGCTGTTGATAACGATGTTCAAGTTAAATTTGAGGACATCCATTACTACACAGTGATGACCTGACTAACCTGAAATATCTTGAAAGACTAGAAATAACATTTAACATTTAAATACAAAGACAAAATATTTTAAACAAATGCAATATAATATAAATAATAAAATAAAATAAGCAAAATGCATTAATATATACAGGCAGGTGCAGACTAAAAATTCTTATATTTTAATTTTTCTTTTTATGAGGAATTTCCATGAATTAGGTAGTCCATCTGCACTTGTGGCATTTATCATCTTTTAATTTACTTTTATAAATTTCAAGTTTTTCTTGGCTCAATGCTAATGAAGATGAACTCATAACTCTGTGGATACTCACTTCATTCCATTTAACTATGAAGTCCTGTACTTATGTCATACTGGACAAAACCATGTTACAGTGCCCCTTTTCAATGTCACATTTGTGTGTACATCACAGACAAAAGACATGCCAAAATAATTTTCAAAAGGGGTTCCTAATTTATACAGTATTTTGAGAAATGATAAAGATAAGGTCAAAAATGAAGAAAAAGCAGACATATACCAGTACAAAATTCCATTTGAAAATCAGCAGTTAGGAATAAAGAAGAGCTATGTTAGGTTCACAAGAAGGAATCTAGCAAGTAGGCTCAAAGAACACAATTATGATATTGAAAAGGGGCACTGCAACACAGTTTTGTCCAGTATGACACAAGTACGGGACTCCACATTTAAATGGAATGAAGTGAGTATCCACAGACCTATGAGTTCACCTTCATTAGCATTGAGCCACAGGTGCAGACGGACTACCTAATTCATGGAAATTCCTCATAAAAAGAAAAATTAAAATATAAGAATTTTTAGTCTGCACCTGCCTGTATATATTAATGCATTTTGCTTATTTTATTTTATTATTTATATTATATTGCATTTGTTTAAAATATTTTGTCTTTGTATTTAAATGTTAATTTATCTGATTTAAATTTATATATGAGAGTTCAAATGTTCCTTTGTTAAAATATTCCATTTTGAAATGGCATTTGAATTCGATTACACCGATTGCATTAGGATGAAAATGTTTGTGTTTGTTTAATAAAATGTTTCTCAGCAACAGAAGATGGTTTTGATAGTTCGTTAGCTACAACTGTGATATTATTGAATAACATTATCATTAATCATAGACAAACTAAAAAGAGCAGGCACATAATATACACGATAAACATATAATATATATTTCAAGATTAAGATACAGATTAGATGATTTTAAATTAAACTTATTACTAAATCACTTTTGACATTTTATAGCTATAAATAACTGATTAGTTAACTGTCAAATTTAAACTAAGCATTTAAAAATATATATTTTGGAAAAATATCTACAGAAATATAATATCTATTATCTAATAATCATTTAAGTATATGTAATTTAATCTTAGTGATGAAATTATAAATGATTCAAAATTCCAATTATAGGGAATCACACTGTCTATTATTTTCTTTATTAGTTTTTCTAGAAAGACCATGAACCAATGCATGACTTGATGCAATCACTATTATTTTGATATGCATTTCAAGTGTTTTAGCACTCCTTTTCCATCGTTTAAGTCTTGCATATATCCTTTCTGACTTAACCAAATTTAAATTTATTATCTGAAAACTATAATAAAATATGAAGCAAACATAAATTTAAAAAATTTTAGAATGAAGCAGTTTTATAAATTTAAATTTCATTTTATTATTTAAATTTATAGAACTGCTCTGTTCTGAAATTTTAAATTTGTTTGCATCATACTTCATTATGGTTTGCAGATAATAAATTTAAATTAGGTTAAGTCAGCAAGGATATGTGCAAAAGACTTTAATAAGATGATGGAAGAGAAGTGCTAAAACACTTGAAATGCATATCATAGAATAAAGTGGTTGTTACATCAAGTCACACATTGCTTTATCATATTCCTAAAAGAACACATTAAAAAAAAGTATAAATTAATCCTTATGAGTAGAAACTGTACTAATAGTAAATTTAAAAAGTTTACTTTTATAACATATTTTCATTAAATTGTTTACTAAATCAGTCTAACATTAAAATTCTAAAATAATGAAAATAATTCTGTTGTCAATATCTTAATAAAAAATAACTTTTTATATTAACAAAAAATAAATATTGGAAAATTAATCAATAATTTAGCAATTATTTTTCAACCATGCAGTGTTATAATTTTATAACTATTTTTCATTTATTAATTCAAACAATCGCTTTATAAATTCAAGGAGTCACCTTCTTTATTTCCAATTATATGTTTTTCAAGACCTTTTTGTCTTATTGTCAAAGTAAACACTTAAGAGATTCAGACAAAGAACAAGCTAAAAAGTTTTAATGACAAATACTGGACTCAAATATCCTGATTTTATTGATAAATGTGCGATGCTGATAACATTAATGTAATAAAAATAATTTTATATAAAGAGTATCCTTATATTATTACTTTCTATGACTATCCTAAACTGAAATATGTATCTTTTGATAGCAAAAAATAAAATAATTTAAAATTATTTATAAAATTACAATTAAAAAAAATAAATACAATAATAAAAAGTGTAAAATAAAAATGGTATATAATAACAAAATTATTATTATTTGGAAAATATAATCAAATTAAAACTTATAAACAATGCAATTCCATCTGATCAGAAAGCATTATAACAATTTATTTAAAAAAAAAACATAATTATCTAAACTTCTTTTAAAAAACAACTTATTATTATAACTTTTTGGATGAATTTTAATAAAAGATAAAATTGTTTTGATAATTATGGTGTTATATTTTAAATTATAATAATTTTCGGAATATAAGTATTAATTGCCAACATGATCATAAATTGAATAAAAAAAAATTATATAAAAGTTTTTATACAGAAAAAATTGATTGTTAATAATATTTAACTTAATTTTAATATTAAGATAAATATTTTGTTTTAAATCCAATAACTGAGTATTTTTTTTTAACTTTCTAAAATGTGTAAAATTATTTTAATAATAAATTTTAAAATGCACATTGTGTATTTTTATATGAGTAATTTTTAATCATATTCAATTACCTGATATGTTGTCCCTTCTTCTTCTGTGACTAGAAAAAAGAGAAAGAATACAAATCAATGCAGTCTGCAGACAACACTCACACTGCTGCTGCATCACCAGATCAATAATTTGAAGGACATATGATGAATGCAGTTATAATGTATGATCACAGAATTAGGGATTTACCTATTACTTAATTATTAATTAAATGTAGTCTTATTAAAATTATATAAATTACTATAGCAGAATTTTTTGTTATATTATTTTAAGCTCTTTACAATTGGACAAATAGCAAAGCTTTGCTGTTATTAATGTAAGTATTTGTACAGTTACGTGATATATGTACAGTATATATCTATTATAATTTTTTTAATATATTAATTTTATAAACTTATAATTTTATTAAAGTAATACTTACTTTTCTTAATTCTCCATTAGCACTATGAAAAGAACTTTGAGTGTAATCAGAACTATTAAAAAAATCTTTATTAATATTCTTATAAAATAATAATAATGCAATAAAAAATATATGCAATAGTTGTGTCCATATTTCTGAGATGTTCAAGTTTTATTATTCTATATTCAATATTATAGTGAAAATATTGAGTATTGTATAATTTTTGGCTTATGTAAATCAGTATCAACATTTATTACACCTATAATATCAACCTTATACACCTATATATATATATATATAATTTTTATACATCTATCAATAACAACATTTATTAACCTATTTTAACATTTCTCTAGATGTATTGTCTTTGAAAAACATTATAAAGTAAAGTTATAATATAACTGCTACTTATTCTCTAATTTTTTTCAATAAAGAATTTTTGCAATAAAATAAAATAAACTTAGAAATTTAAAAATATATATCAAAATCAGTATTAAAAATAGGAATCAAAATTTATACAGATCTTTATAATAATGTTTTGAAATTTCTAATTCAATTTCAGTTACTCTAAATCAGTGCTTCTCAAACTTTTTTTGGATTACCATTGGTTGTGACTGTTAGTAGTAATGTCCCCTGTTTTGTGTACACAAAACAGGGGACATTACTACAGGCACAATATAAATTTTATATTGTGTACACTGTAGTAACTTCTCACAGAGGTGATATTGCCCACTTTCAGAAGCGTGCTCTAGTTAGAGTAAATGAACCTCTAAATTTTCTTCTCCAAATTTCTTGCTAAACTTTAACTACAATCCATCAAGTATTCATTTATATTTTATTGTTTTCATGAACTATTAATGTAAAATGCTAAATTCTCTCCTATTTCTATGCATACTAGGAAACCATTTTATTGAAAAATGCTTTTTCTAGTTCATGGATAACTAACTATATGAATATTAAATTATAGACTTTTAGAATGAGCATGTTTCAGACTTAGAAGATCTAAATAAATTCTTTAGTAGCTAAAGCAATATTTGGAAAATTAAAGAATAATGTATTTTTTATCATATTCATATCAATGATTTCAACAGAAATTAAAATTTAACATTACAAAGAAGGCAAACAATCAGATACCTTATATTAAAATGTGGTTGATGAATAGATGTTGCATTTGGCTTATATTGTATAGCAGATAACTGAGTAACAGGGTGAATGAAAGATGTTTCTTTCCTATTGTGACTGAAAAAGTTTAAATATTTCATTAAATATATTATTTGATCACCACTATTTACATAAAATGCTAGCTTAGATTATACTAAATTTTGTTTTCTTGTTCTACATTAACAAATATAATAATTTAAATCATAATTAAATCAATAAACAACATAATTTTCAATTCCAAGCATATAAATGTAATAACAACATTATAAATAACAAAAAACTTAATATCTACATTCCAATAAGCAAGGACAAAAGGTATGTGAGCATACACTCATACACAGTCCTATTGAGTTGTTTTTATTCTAGAATCTGAGATTAATGGAATTATAGTTTTCTTATAAATGACAGAAATTATCAAATGATCAGTCCGTTTATTTATAACTCTTTAATTCATGGTCTGGCAACTGATTGATTGTGATCAAGACATTGTGAACCATGGTTAAAGTATTATAAATAGAATGAAAATACTAATATCTTGTTCTAAAACATTATAGAACTTGACACTGTCTATGTAAATAAATAAATCACTGTTAATTTCAGGAAGGCAAGTTTTTATTAATTAAAAAAAATGTTTTAAATCAAAATATGACTATCTCATTATTTTAAACCAGTGGTAACCAAACTATGGCTCCTAGGCAAAATCCAGCCTGCAGCACATATTAATCCATCCTGCAAAATATTTGACACATCATTTCTGATAGAAATAGGACTTACAACTTAATATATATAGAATATACAAAATATTTGTAACCCATCTACCTATGACTTCTCGCAATTTGACACAACAATTGAAAAGTTTAACCAACTGTACTAAGCTGTTAAATTGAAGATTTTAAAGGTAAAGATAGTCAGACCAAAAATGTTTCTTTAAATTAATAAAAACTTGGCTTCCTGAAATTAGAAGTGATTTATTTATTAATATCTTGNTAACTGAGTATTTTTTTTTAACTTTCTAAAATGTGTAAAATTATTTTAATAATAAATTTTAAAATGCACATTGTGTATTTTTATATGAGTAATTTTTAATCATATTCAATTACCTGATATGTTGTCCCTTCTTCTTCTGTGACTAGAAAAAAGAGAAAGAATACAAATCAATGCAGTCTGCAGACAACACTCACACTGCTGCTGCATCACCAGATCAATAATTTGAAGGACATATGATGAATGCAGTTATAATGTATGATCACAGAATTAGGGATTTACCTATTACTTAATTATTAATTAAATGTAGTCTTATTAAAATTATATAAATTACTATAGCAGAATTTTTTGTTATATTATTTTAAGCTCTTTACAATTGGACAAATAGCAAAGCTTTGCTGTTATTAATGTAAGTATTTGTACAGTTACGTGATATATGTACAGTATATATCTATTATAATTTTTTTAATATATTAATTTTATAAACTTATAATTTTATTAAAGTAATACTTACTTTTCTTAATTCTCCATTAGCACTATGAAAAGAACTTTGAGTGTAATCAGAACTATTAAAAAAATCTTTATTAATATTCTTATAAAATAATAATAATGCAATAAAAAATATATGCAATAGTTGTGTCCATATTTCTGAGATGTTCAAGTTTTATTATTCTATATTCAATATTATAGTGAAAATATTGAGTATTGTATAATTTTTGGCTTATGTAAATCAGTATCAACATTTATTACACCTATAATATCAACCTTATACACCTATATATATATATATATAATTTTTATACATCTATCAATAACAACATTTATTAACCTATTTTAACATTTCTCTAGATGTATTGTCTTTGAAAAACATTATAAAGTAAAGTTATAATATAACTGCTACTTATTCTCTAATTTTTTTCAATAAAGAATTTTTGCAATAAAATAAAATAAACTTAGAAATTTAAAAATATATATCAAAATCAGTATTAAAAATAGGAATCAAAATTTATACAGATCTTTATAATAATGTTTTGAAATTTCTAATTCAATTTCAGTTACTCTAAATCAGTGCTTCTCAAACTTTTTTTGGATTACCATTGGTTGTGACTGTTAGTAGTAATGTCCCCTGTTTTGTGTACACAAAACAGGGGACATTACTACAGGCACAATATAAATTTTATATTGTGTACACTGTAGTAACTTCTCACAGAGGTGATATTGCCCACTTTCAGAAGCGTGCTCTAGTTAGAGTAAATGAACCTCTAAATTTTCTTCTCCAAATTTCTTGCTAAACTTTAACTACAATCCATCAAGTATTCATTTATATTTTATTGTTTTCATGAACTATTAATGTAAAATGCTAAATTCTCTCCTATTTCTATGCATACTAGGAAACCATTTTATTGAAAAATGCTTTTTCTAGTTCATGGATAACTAACTATATGAATATTAAATTATAGACTTTTAGAATGAGCATGTTTCAGACTTAGAAGATCTAAATAAATTCTTTAGTAGCTAAAGCAATATTTGGAAAATTAAAGAATAATGTATTTTTTATCATATTCATATCAATGATTTCAACAGAAATTAAAATTTAACATTACAAAGAAGGCAAACAATCAGATACCTTATATTAAAATGTGGTTGATGAATAGATGTTGCATTTGGCTTATATTGTATAGCAGATAACTGAGTAACAGGGTGAATGAAAGATGTTTCTTTCCTATTGTGACTGAAAAAGTTTAAATATTTCATTAAATATATTATTTGATCACCACTATTTACATAAAATGCTAGCTTAGATTATACTAAATTTTGTTTTCTTGTTCTACATTAACAAATATAATAATTTAAATCATAATTAAATCAATAAACAACATAATTTTCAATTCCAAGCATATAAATGTAATAACAACATTATAAATAACAAAAAACTTAATATCTACATTCCAATAAGCAAGGACAAAAGGTATGTGAGCATACACTCATACACAGTCCTATTGAGTTGTTTTTATTCTAGAATCTGAGATTAATGGAATTATAGTTTTCTTATAAATGACAGAAATTATCAAATGATCAGTCCGTTTATTTATAACTCTTTAATTCATGGTCTGGCAACTGATTGATTGTGATCAAGACATTGTGAACCATGGTTAAAGTATTATAAATAGAATGAAAATACTAATATCTTGTTCTAAAACATTATAGAACTTGACACTGTCTATGTAAATAAATAAATCACTGTTAATTTCAGGAAGGCAAGTTTTTATTAATTAAAAAAAATGTTTTAAATCAAAATATGACTATCTCATTATTTTAAACCAGTGGTAACCAAACTATGGCTCCTAGGCAAAATCCAGCCTGCAGCACATATTAATCCATCCTGCAAAATATTTGACACATCATTTCTGATAGAAATAGGACTTACAACTTAATATATATAGAATATACAAAATATTTGTAACCCATCTACCTATGACTTCTCGCAATTTGACACAACAATTGAAAAGTTTAACCAACTGTACTAAGCTGTTAAATTGAAGATTTTAAAGGTAAAGATAGTCAGACCAAAAATGTTTCTTTAAATTAATAAAAACTTGGCTTCCTGAAATTAGAAGTGATTTATTTATTAATATCTTGTTCCACTTATTATTACATATTATTATTATTATTATTATTATTATTATACATATTATTATATTATTTAATACATAAAATGAAATAAAAATCTCTGCCAAAAATTAACATTTTCTCAAAGTGATATTCCTTTTATGAAATATAATATAAATGTAAATTGCTATTAAAATAAAAATTAATAAATATTTAAGAAAGTCACTTATTTAGTATATTAACTAATAATTCTATCATTAGCTTTTACTCTGTATATTCTTTCTGATACTTTTATGTCTATCAATTTTAAAATATTATTCCAGTTGTTGATTTTGTTACATATACATTTATACATCAAAATAATAATTACATTCTAAATTATAGTATTTGAAATTGATCAAAGAAATAGTATAATTTAATATAATTTCATTACAAGTTATGTATTCACTAGTTATGTATCAATAGCACTTATAGTATAATCAGGTTTGCTGAGAAAAGTTAATAGACATAAAATACAGTATCTATTCAAACAGCCAATAAACAATACATTGCTACAACCTTTGTAATTTTGCCAAAAATTGAAAATTTTAATAAGTTTAAAACCATATAAATCTGATTCTGTTACCTAAGTATCAGAAAAATTATTTCTATGGTATGCAATAGGTATATACATACAAGAAAGACATCGGCCGTACATGAAGTGTTTAGCCAGCAGAAAAGAGGGTAAGGAAAGGGGAGGGGAAGGAGGAGAGAGATGAGATAGACAGTAGAGAAAGGTAGGATCCCTCTGAACAACGTACATAAGGCTACAGTACCCTCTATGTTTGATATTGGCAAGCAGTTTTTAGGCTGCAAGGCCATAGTCCCCTGAAGGGTCTAAAAGAATACCTGAATGTAGTGAACACAATAATTGAGTGCTGCCACAAATAGCTAAGTGTAGAAGTTAGTGCCAAGTGGCTGTTAGTAGGAAGACTTATATCTACTTAATACTAATAAAACTGAACATGAGTGCAAATCTCAATACTATTAACAGCTAGACAGACAGTGCGAAAAAAATGAACACAACAACAAACTAGACAAGACGAATGGACTGACAGAGACAAACAATACATATATTATATCAGTATATAGTAGGGAAGTACTTCGGTAGGATGCTGAATCTCTGGATGGTAGGATCTGATGTATTGTATCTCTGACATTCTGAGTTCAATGTACACAGAGTCTTCCAAAATGAATGCTACCTTTTTAAATCACTGTAATTATGTTAATTATTATCTATCTTTGATCTTTTTTTAGTAGATTGAGAGAAGTATGTAATGTACAGAAAAACAATCAATAGAGTAACTGTCTGCATTTCATCTCCCACCTGCATTCAAACATCTTGTTGTCTACCATCTCTAGGAAGTGATATTAAAAAAATGGCAACTTTATAATAGAAAATACATTTTGTGTTCTGTAGTTTGCAAAGTCAGAATCACTCATCATTGCACAACATGAGTAGTTTGCTACAGTTGTAGAATTATCAAAAGAGTAAAATTGGATGTGCTATAGTGAGTGAAGAAGAATTTGAGATTAGATGCATGTTGTGTGGCATGAAGTATATACATTGAGAAACTAATGGAAATATGTAAAATTTGAAGTCTTCCAATGTTTTAATGTATATTACAACATTCTCAGATAAAAATTAACATAATTATAATAATTTAAAATACTAACACTCTTTTTGGAAGATTCTGTATTTTAAACAAGAAATTCAAATCAGGAATACTATAGAGAAAATCCTCAGGTAGAACTGACAGGAAAAATATAAATCTATTTTTAATGCTTTTTAATGTTTACATAGTCTTTTCTGGAATAAGAATGTTGCATTAGTCTATATATACAAAGAAAATTAGTTCTTTATTCATTATAAAATAGAATATATATAAATAACTCCATAATATCATAAATCTTTCATTACTTTTCTGCTTAAACTGGAGTCTATAAAACAGAACAACAAAATGACCAATTTTTTGAACTCTTATTTAAACATTGTTCAAATAGGAGTTCATGGGTGTTCTCACTCCTAGTGATGTTAGAACATCACATAGCAAGTTCAGACAGGAAAGCAGGAAATAATGTTGAAAACCAAAGGCAATTATCATGCAGTGGCACTCAGCATTTCTATTTTGGGTATTTTTTATCAATTGACAGAAAAATTTGGGAAATTTCTTGGAGTGACATTTTTTCACTTTGTCACTAGAGTGAGACATTAGGTGCCATCTTGTGATTAAATTAATAATTATAATTTTAATAACTTATTAAATAAATTTAGAACCTTCTGGAATAAAAGAACTGACCTAGGGCAAGCTTGAACCTGTAACCTCTGCTTGCTGTGCAGTGCGCTTGCCTGTTGTGCCACCCAGATCCTGAGTGGCGCAACAGGTACCCAACGTCTTTGCTTCCAGAGATATATTAACTTTAGATATAACCTTGGTTATATCTAAAGTTAATATACCTCTGGAAGCTAATTTTGTCCTTGTCGTTTCTTAATAATCTATAAATATTGGATGCTCTTTTATATATTATCTTTGCGTTTTTGTATTTACCTAATTCCTTCACCACCTTCTTCGTTTGTTCATTGTATGTGAACTTATTGAATGTAGTATTGTTGTTATGGTTTGGATTTGTAGCTTTTTGTTTACCGTAGCTTTTTACAAGGCCTATGATTGTGGACTTTCTGTATCCTAAAGTCTTTGCTAAAGGATTTGCATAAACATGTTTTTTAGAATCTCTTTTTTAATGTTTCACATTCTTTTGGGATACTCATCCTATATATGGACATTGGAAATACTTTTTGATCCACACAAGTTGGATATTAACATGGAATTCAAATTAGGAAACATACAAATGAACGTATATTTGAAACCAACACACGCTCCTTTATACATACCGGCATGGTCAAAAGACCCGTATAAATATAAATTATCTGCATTTAAGGCACTGATCAAAAGGGCCTTCCTGTACTGCACCAATGTACAAGACAGGGATAAAGAAATTAATAGAATTCAACAGATAGCAAGGACTTTAGGATACAGAAAGTCCACAATCATAGGCCTTGTGAAAAGCTACGGTAAACAAAAAGCTACAAATCCAAACCATAACAACAATACTACATTCAATAAGTTCACATACAATGAACAAACGAAGAAGGTAGTGAAGGAATTAGGTAAATACAAAAACGCAAAGATAATATATAAAAGAACACCCAATATTTATAGATTATTAAGAAACGACAAGGACAAAATTAGCTTAGAAGACCAACCGGGTGTGTACAGTATACCCTTTGAGAAACAACAATTAGGTATTGAGAAAGAGTATATAGGAGTAACCAGAAGAAACCTGAAAGTATGAGTAAAGGAGCACAAATATAGTATAAATAAAAAACTGAATAGCACGATATTAGCAAGTATGGCACAGGCAGACGGATCAGTAGTCAAATGGGATGAAGCCAAGATTGTTAGGACAGGCCATTCACCTTTCATCGCAATGGAAATGGAGAAAATAGAGATTTACAGAAGTAAGATGAGGGACAGATGCCTAAATGCAAAAGATGCAAAAGCATTACCAACAGCTTGGAAATATAAAATTGAGAAAAATATGGGTTTTAATAATTCATAAACATTTTCATGATCTGGAGTTTTTAGTATTTCAAACTCAAAGTTGTTATAATTTTTCTTTTTCTTTTCTTTTAGTTTCGTTGTTAAATTGAAACGCGATTTTAGAGTACATTTTATCATATATTTATTTTAATTTACGTTGTTCATGTTATTGTTAAGTTACAAGTTTTTGTTATTACTCTTAACTATTTATTTATACACAAAAGTTGTAATAAGTTCAAATTCAAACAAATTTCGAACGAATGTTTCCATTGGAACGAAAACTGTTAAAGCCTGAAGATGGCCTACACAAATTGGCCGAAAACGTTAGAATAAACAAAAATAACTCGGCAAATACAAATCAGGTGTGTGTGATTTATTATTATAAATAACTATAGGTCTATGCATAACAGCTGATGGCCAATAGTTGCCACCATATTTAATTTTAAGTTATAAAATGATATCTGAGAATGAAGTCTTCCCTGAAGATGTTATTATACAAACACAAAAATAATGAAATGATGACAGCAGAACTGATGACGAATAAGTAAAAGTCATCCGGACTATATGTTCAGGTGCTTTATATAATATATCTATGGTCAATGCAACAAAAGAGTAGACATGAGTCAGCCTGACAGTAGTTTTCAATGCGCTTATTCTTTCAGAGATATTTAACTGAACTGTTAAACATAACTAATGAGAACTATAGTCAGTGCAGTAAAATAAAGAGTAGACTTGAGTCAGCAAGAGCTGGAAGAGTCTATGTCAGACAAAAGGAGATGTGATTAATGTGTGAGTAACATTAGAATTAAGAGGAAGTAACAAAAATTGTAAAAAAATAAAACAATAAAATTATTTATGAGAAAAATAATATAAAGACGTTTTAGAAATGTAAAAAAACAAAACAGAGCTGAAAAAGATTAGATCCACGTGTCAACTCCCAAGGGGATAGCCACATGTCTCCTTCCATCTTTTTCATCTGACATAGACCCTTCCAGCTCAAGCTGGCTAATGTCTACTCTTTCATTGCACATATTATAGTATGTTAGTTATTATTTATGTTTCGTGGATATTTAATTGAACAGTTAAAGAATAAGCTTATTGAAAACTGTTGTGACTTGGTTGATATTCCTATTGGTATGTCTAGCCAGCTTCAACCTCTTAATGTTTCAGTCAAAAAACTATTTAAAGATCATTTGAAGAAAGAATATGAGTCCTGGTTATTATCTAAAAACCTAGAAAGATTAAGAGAATATCTGCATGAAAACTTGCAGAATGGGTATCAGATACCTGGAAGAAATCATCAGGAGTAATAGTAGAGCATTTAATGTAAGAAATGTTTCATCACAGACACATTGGAAGACACAACAGACAAAATTCTATAGGAAGATAATGATAGTGAAAACTCAATCTAAATGTAATTTGGATATTTGGAAAAATAAGTATTTCCAGTATTGCAATACTTAAAAATACAAAAAAATAATCATAAATTTGCAACTTATTTTAAAAAAGTCAGTTTCTAATAGTATGAAGATAAAATGTTGATATGCACAAAATACCTCAGATTCTATAATCAACACTTCTGAAAGAATATTCAACTAATTGTTCTTAAAAAAATTCAACATGTATTTACAACTCAAGCATTACACAGAATAGATAAAATAACTATGGTTGAATACATTTTTCTTCTTTCATGTGCCATGTCTGGTCACCCTGATGTTGGTGATCATCCCAATGCAGGTTAATTTTTGTTTAATTTTGTGCCAAAGTGATTCCTGGGAATTGAGTACCAGAGTGGTTTCCTGTTGCCTTCTCTGGATATTTGGTGTTACTTGGGGAGGAATGCCTTCTGGGAAGTCTTTTTAAGGGTAACTGGCCCTATTCATTCATTACAGACGTAGAGAAACCCAGAAAACTCCACATGGTCAGCCTGTCCTGGTTAGGCATGAACCCATGACTGAACTCCCAATGTTCAGGGAACAGAATTACTTGGCCACTGGTGGCCTGAATACATTCTACATTAATAAATAAAACAAGTTTTGATATACATATCTATCTAATGGCTTAAATTTACACAGCATGTAATTTTCATAAATGTATGAAAATACTATTATATTTTTAATACAATTTAAACTATTTTAAATTAATTTCATTTTACAGAAATTAAAAAAATGTGCTCTTTTACTTATTATTAAACCAGTTTTTTTTTTCAGAACTTCTGGCTAGGAAATGATAATTTTCAGTAATATTTCTCATGTCCCAGTGACATGAAATAAGATAAATGCATTATACAAGTATAACACTTTCTATCAAAATTAGTATCTTCCTAAATTCATCTATTGTGCAATATTATATAACCAGATATTTCATTTAAATAATAATAATAAAGTTTTAAAAATATCAAAATTATATTTATTACAAAGTTTTACTTTTTGCTATTTTATATATTTTATATTCTAGTTTTTAAGTTCTTTGAAGACAAGCATTTTTTCTATAGATCAGTAGATTGTGAACTATACATTAGAAAATGCTATTCTAAATTGTTTTTACTTACTTAAGTTAGTAAAATGTATTTAATAACTGAGAATAAAAAGATGTTTGACAAAATAATGTAAAAGATATATTTTCTTTCATTTTAAACACACATTTTAATAAGACTTGCTTTCTTTATGATACATCTGTTAAATAGTGGTGCACCAAATAGATGTTTGCTAATTATACTAATTGGCTCCTCCATCAATTAATTGGAGTAATTAGCAAATAATCATTTCATTGGAAATCATTACTATTTTTTAAATTAAAAATGATTAAATTAACATTAAAAAATAAATGATATTGAAAGATATGATAACTTTATTAATAATAACAATTCAGGCTAATCATGGCAACACATCCAGTTCCATTAGAAACTATAAGACTTTGTATCTGTGTTTTCAAACTGAAATGTTCTAGTTTGTGTTAATAAATTTTTAAAAATATATATTTTTAAGAAATAAGTTTCAGTCTCATTTGTAGACAATTATCACATCTGACTGATAAATTTTTGGCACCATCTGCCTATTTTTCAAAGAAATATTTTGTTTTTAACAAGTAGATTATTGAATAATAATAATAATAATAATGTTATAACATTATTTTGCTAACTACATTGCACTTGAAAGGATATCTAATGTATGAAAGTAATTATGACACAAGTCAATTAATTTATCAAATAATAAAAGAAAAATGCAACAAACAGAAATACTAGTCAATGCTCAGAATAGCATCAGTATAGGACTGCCAAGAAAGTATATAATCCATATTAATATAAATTGAATTACTTAAAAAAGACTCTATAAAACTAAAATTTTATAAGATATTTTAAAAAATACCTGACAATAATTAGTAAACAATCATATGATTAGTCAAGTAAACCATCCAAATTAATCATTTGTCATTAATTGAATAATTTGATAATTGTTCCACCCTTACTGTGAAGTACCAGTTTTTTAGAATACAATGATAATAATATTTGTATATCAATGACAATGATAATAATTGTATATCAGTATGCATACTATGCATAATATCAATATTATAATGTAGTATACATAATATCAATACAGGTAGGCCTACTACAACGCGGTACCTTTACAATGCGTTTTCGCTCCAACGCAGTTGGAAAAATGCAGTAATTTTCTTACAACGCGATACTTTTACAACGCGGTTTACGGTATTTAGAAACAAATTATCTTTCACATAACAGAAAAATCGCAACGGATCACGTGATGCGAGCCACAGTTCGGTATACAGAACTAAAAGTCTTTGAAAACAGCTGTTTGTCGACGTTGGCGTGTTATTTATTCCCTTGAAAGTTTCAGGGGAAGACCGGTTTCTAGACAGATGTGCATCAGTTACCATAAACACTCAAATATATCACTAAATATATCATTTATACTGTTTCAATAAGTGGGGAAAGAAAAAATGGTTCAAAACACAGTATAAACTTCTATTGGGTGTATATTTTTAACAACATAGTGAAGAAAAGTTATTTTTTGCGATTTTTACTGTCCACAAAACTGATTGAAAAAATTTTAGCCATAACAATGCCGAATGAAAAGAAAGGACCGTCGTTAAAAAGGAAATTTATAACTCTTCAAAGATAGACATTTTGGATCAAATTAAAAATCAAGAGCGGATAGCTGATATTAGTAGGCATTTTAATTTAAATGAGTCGACTATTCGGTCGATTAAGCAATTGGGAGAAAAGATTAGAAATTTGGTCGCATCCGGATCATCTATTCTTGTGAAAAATGTTGCTAGTCCGAGAACACCTATAATGTAAAAAATGGAACAAGTGCTAATATTATGGGTAGAAGATATGAACAAGAAATGGTTGCTTTTAAATAAAACTGCACTTAAACACAAAGCATTAAAAATATTTGATTATTTAAAACAAATGGGACAGTCGTCAGCTGCAGTGGCATAGTGTGGGTGTCAGCCGTCCAGGGCGGAGAAAAATTTCACTGCCCCCTTATTTAGGTATCTCAATTTAAAAGACTAAAATTCAGTTTCGTCACAAAATAAATAATGAACAATTCTGTGCTCATTTCAATTGGTCCGAATCGTAGGTGCAACAAAAATAGGAAATGAAATGGTTCAAATTTTTACAAGATACTATTATTATTATTTATTGTGAAATTTTGCCGTCCCTTAAAAGTGTATCCCCCACTATGCTTCGCCACTGGTCAGCTGATGAAACTAGTGTTAAATTCGTGGCTACCAATGGCTGGTTTGAAAAATTCAAAAAACGCCATTCAAACGCCAAGTTTTTCTCTTTTTAGAACCAAATCCCAGTTTTTGTATTGAGTTGGTGTCTCCTATAACGCGATTTCCCACAACGCGGTATTTTTAAGGAATGTATCTACCACGTTGTAGGAGGCCTACCTGTATTATAAATTTTACTATTGAATGGCAAAACTGGAATTTGTTATAAAAATCTATCCATATACTTTACATTTCCAGCAACACAACAGTTTTAATACCACAACCGAAAATTTTACTGTAAACTATTAAAGCTGTTTTGTTGTTGGAAATCTAAAGTGTGTGGATATATATTATAAATTTTACTATAATTTCAAATAGTAAAATGTTTCAATTAAATAACTAAACCTTTTTAAAAAATATTACTTACTCTATATAATATTCTATTCCTTCTGCATTGACAGATCTTTCCCAACCTGCTGGTAAATCTAAAATATAAAAATATTGTTGTTAAATCACCTATAATTATTTAATAAGTGTTCCAATTATATTCAATATGTTTTCATTTTCTAAACATTAACAATTAACAAAGTTTTCCTACTTTAAACTTCATATAAACTGTTAAACACCTCAGATAACCAAAAAAATCCAGCAAGCAAATATAATTTAATAATTAATGAACATTTTAAACTATTTTCAATGTCATCGTCAGGTTTACATTATATTTAAAAGTAGAGCACAAACAGTAATCTATATTTCATATCTGTTCAAATTTCTAATCTCATTGGACAAGAACTAGAGTGTCAAGGATGATGTGAGAATATTGTACATTTTAGCAAATTTCAAAAAAGGACTTCCATGCATCCAAAACAGTGTCCTTGTCTTTATAATTTATGGCTAATGCCTTCCTATTGGCTTTGAAGATTTTTAACTTCTGAAGATGCTTAAGAAGAGTCCTGTCTCCAGTTGGATATTAAATGCAGGCTTCACAAAGTTCAACCCAAATGTCATTTTTGGAGGCCAGTGCTCTATTATTCTAACCATTTTAAGTCACTCTTGTCTTCTTTGATACAGAGTTTTAACATTCATGTTGTTGCTCTGACATATTCATATTTTAAACCAAATTTGCTGTCTGTTACCATGATGGAATGAAAAAAGACATTTTAGTGATCACAGGTTAGAAATAATAATAATAAGAAAGGATAGACAGCTATACTTAAAGTTTCTAATTTTTAATATGTTTTTTTAATGATGAAAATCTTTTGCTTGACAATGTCATATTTTCTGAAAGTATTCTACTGTGCATATTGTTTTTTAATATTCATATAAATTTTCAAAATTTTATTTATAAAAGCAGAATAATTCTTTAAAGAAACAGTATTCCTAACTTGTAATGGAATGCATAAATTTAATGAAATTTTTTTGATTATCTATGCATATTTAATAATAAAAACAGTTGATGTGAAGAGCTTTTTATACATTTAATTTCAGTTAAAAATAAATATAGACTATTAAAAACTGAACAACTATTCAGAAGTACAGAATTTTCATAACTAAAATAAAAACTATAAACATAAGAAAACCGAAAGTCTTCAATTCTACCATTTAGTTTTTTAAAAACATTTTTAGCTAATTTAACTAGCCATCTTCAGATTTAAACTGCACAAGATTCCAGAACATCAGTTCAAAATAATTTGAACCTAGTATACATTCCATTTAAAATACATTCTATTACAAAAAGCAAGAATTAAAATTAAGTAAACAGTGGCAGTAACATTTACAACCACACTAACAATAACATTAAAAAATAACAAAACATTAAGGTTATAAAAAATAATAACAATGCAATATATAATATTTTAATTTATTTGAAACAACTTAATTTCATTGTCATAGCATACTTTAAAAGTTCTATAACTTTGTTATGAAAACATTTAATAATTAAAATATTTTGATATATAGACTTCAATTTAATGACAGTCTACATTAGGAATTGAGTGTTTATGTTATGAAATACACAAAAATTATTCAATTTAAAAATTCTCTATTTTTTTATTATATGCTTCCAGAATTAAAATGATTTTTTCAGCATTCTACTTAAAGCTTCATCCTTATCAAGCACAGTTATTTTATCTTGATATGATTTTTAAATAATCAGATTTATGTAAACTATCAGTAAATGCAATGCTGAATAAGTAAATCTTTTACTGCTAAATATAATATGACATCATTAAACACGCCGTTTTAATTAGTACAAAATTTGTTCAGAAGCAACAGAAATTAAATTTAAAAATGTTTAGTATTTTCTACTTTTATTAGTTGTTCTAAAGCAGGGGTGTCCAACCTTTTTGTTTCTATGGGCCACATTGCAAGATGCTATGGAGTTTTGGGCCACAAGTATATTATATATACTTGTGGCCCAATCCTTAAATATATTTGTATGTTTCAGGATTAATTTGTCTAGATTATAGTAATAAGTATTAAATCTTTATCAGGAAAAAGGATATTTTAAAAAATTACTTCTACAGACACTTTCAATTTTTACTTAGAAATAGATAAATTCATTTATTATAAAGGAGAGAAACAAAAATTTATTTGAAAAACACAAATTTTTATTTTATTTGGGTCTCTAATTAAAACAAAAATGACAAAACACCATTTTAAAGTGCATTTTTATTTGTCTAATATACTGTATTTATAAATAATATGTAGCCCAAAAAGTAGCCAATGCGCCAAATGATATTTTTTATGCCAAACTAAACAAAGGATAGCCAACTTTGGCGCAAAGTAGCCAAATCATGCAACGCTGGAAGGAATATTAAATAAACTGGAGTTGGGACTCAAAGAATTATAGACCCAAATGCGGGGAAAGGAGAGAAAGAACAAAAGATAAAGAAGTGAGGAAGGTTGGAAAATTAAGGGTCCATATTTGCATAGCAGAAAGTCTATTTAATCTTTCTCACTACTGTTTATCTTTTGTCCTTTCTCCCCTCCCGAATTTGGGTCTATAATCCTTTGAGTCTCAACTTTAGCTTTATTTAGTATTCCTTCCTCATTCACATATTTTCAAGTATTTGAAAATAGTTCCTTTCCACTAAAAAATAAAATATGTATAAAGGTTTATGGCTTTGTGAAACTTCTTTTTTTGAATTTAAGCCGTTGAAATAAATAAATAAAATAAAATGAAAAACTTTGTCGGTTTTGTTTACACGTTTATTGGGCCGCATGCGGCCTGCGGACTGGACACCCGTTCTAAAGTATGGTTTTTTATATTTTTTTGCAATATAAGCTTACATTATCATTGAATAAGTATATGTTAGCCCAAATTGACAAGCTTGGCAATTTTATAATGCTGATTATAATAATTTAGTAATAAAATGAAAGATAATGCACACTGTAAAAACATTTCAATTACACAAAATTATAGTTAAGATTTTATTTTATATACAGCAGATTCAGATAATACTTTGTTCATTGTGATTTCTAGATAATATACGTTTGAAAAAAAAAATTTTTATCTAATGCATGATAAAAACATTACATACCAATAAATTTAAATGACTGGTGATTACATATAAAAAATGATTATAGTTTTATCTTCTATCTTTATTGTTATTTTTGCAAAATAGATTATTTTAGTCTCATCAAGAGGGAATATCATTTATTTATTTCAATATATACAAGAGAAAGGTTTCTACAATCAAATTTATAATATAAAACTATAAATCTATGTAATCATTAATTATAGAAATGCTAATATAAATTTTTAAATTCAAATTATGAATATTCTGATTTGTTTTCATAGGTTTAAAATAAAATATGCCTTAAGATACTTTTTTAATAATAAAAATTTGTTTATAATAATTTTCATATTTTTTAATTAATTAAGGTAAGACATAAATAACTTATATGCTGTCCTAGATACAAATATTTATTATTTACTTCATAGGAGGAGTATTATAACAAATATAATTATATATATTTTAAACAAATTTCAACTATTAATTTAAATTATATTAGAGGTATTGAGTATAAAAGAAAATTTTTGAAGAATATAATCAATAATTTGCTTTGAACTTAATGAGTTATCAAATTAATATTCAGAAAATTATATAAGGAAATTAAAGAAGTATGATATAACTTTACAAGTTTAAACTGACAAAGATTGCATTGTGAAATATCATCACAAAAGAAAAGTAAGTGTTAAATATCCATGCATCATTTGACAGCTGATGTGTCAATGTGTTAAAAGTATCCTTTAGTTAAGTATGGAAGAATTCTGACATAAAATTGGAGTTCTTGAAATAATTAAGAATGCTAAGAGGATGAAAAATGAAGAGAGAAAATAATTTGGTCTGATAAGAGAAATAATAGAGAAAGTCAAGCATACATTTGAAGCTAATTAAAAAGGCAAATAGTTAGACAAAGAAGCACAAAAGAGAAATTAGAATAATGATACTTGGATATGAAGTCAAGATATATACTATAAGGAAATACTTCAGAAAGTAATTAAAATGAAAGGAAACAAATTAATTTCAGATTCTCTTGAAAAATAAAATTTAATAAGAAGTTTATCTTTTGAAGTTTAAGTAGTTAATCAGTAAGAAAAAGTATTTGATTCTTAAAATACATAATGTCTGAAAACAGTCATATAGAAATTGATAAAATTCATTACATTTGTTTGTGAGAGTTCTTTCTATTCCCTTTTATTCTTTTAGTGTCTGATTATTTCCTTCTAATCATGTTCAAAAACACCAACATCTCAGAATAAGATTATTGTTAATTTGCTTTTATTTTATTTTAACTTAAACAGGAACATCTTCCTTTTAATTTCTATTTCTATATTTATGTTACAATTTTAAATTTCTACCTCAAAATTTTACACACTAGAATATGCTGCTTAAAAAACAAAAATAATATAGTATATATATATATATATAGAACTGAGTGTAAGATGGAACCTTGAACATTTTTTCACTTAAATAAATATTCAGCATTCAGCAGTAAACTTGGCTGAGATTTCATTTTTATAGCAGTTAAAAATAATAATGCAAAATTTAGAAAATGTAATTCGAGAATACTATAGCTGCTCATATAACCATTTTTTTATGTTTAGTTAATTTGCTGTCCAAACAGATATTAATAAAATAATGTATCTGTAAAAGCATTAAATGAAAATAATTACAGTATCAGCATTTGCTATTTAAAACATTTAATTTTTAAAAACAAACATATTTTTATTAATTAGTATATAAATGGAAAGATTATTACTAATTTGCAAGCATAAACAAAGATATATTTCAGATTAATTGCAAGTGTGATATATGTGATAGCATTATATATGTATGCTGAATCCAAGAATGTTACTCATTTTGTGAAATACACGGAAATTTGAGAAACTGGGACATCAAGTACTGATTTAATAAATTAAGCAAATTATCTGCCTGTTTTATGAAATAGTCTATTCAAAATTAACCTATTCATAAAA